ATGATCACCAGCCTTCATTATGGCCAGGAGGATGCACTGGTGGAACTTCGCCGGCCTGCTTCTCCATGATGCTTTCAAGAAGCAACACAAGATGGTAAATAGGTACTGCGCGTGCTTCGAGTGCGGAATCGTCTCGTTAATTATCGCGCCCTAGGGCAAGAATGGCTTACGAGCCTCGTGTCTGTCGCTTGTCTACGAGTTGACTCTAGATTTGCGGCATTATTTTGGATGTTCCCTCAATAATAGGAGAGGGGTTGTGTACGACACTTTCAATGCCGTCGGATCATGCTGCATCTGCACGCAGCATGTCATTGGTCCATGAGCCGGCGGTTCAACGCGAGCTTACGGCCAAGAATTCGTACCCCGCCATCAGGCTGCGCATGATGATCGGCGCATGCTGCATCTTTTTTAAAGGCTCAGACTTTTCTTGAAGAAAATAACAATTCATGCAAGTGCGTCAAGTATCGAGTCGTACATGATTGAATGCTGTCAAGCAGACATCTCGTAAACGAAATCGCCTCATTTTCTTCAAACACACGCCTATGACGGCCTTAAATATAAACAAGCTTTCAGATGAGTTAAGGCGTCAATGGAGGATTGCTTCGACCCAGGACAAAGAAGCGGAGACCAAGAAACCATGGGAGAGTGGGATTATAAGTCTTCAAAATCAGCCGCAAGAATTCCACGATGCTCTCTACGCCTTACATCTTGAGATACAAGGTGAGTTTTCACATTTACACAAAGCCTGTCCGTATCTAACGACGGTCCAGAAGCGAGTCCCAGCCTTTCGGACATCAGTAATGTCATGATTTCAGACACATCTCTTATCTGGAAAACCTCAGCCTTTTGTCTGCCAGCGCCCTACTTCAATCCTGGACAGATGGTTCATCGTTTGAATGCCTTACGAGCCGCGAGAATCATGCGAGACTCTTCAAAACGCAATACTCTCGACTTCTGGCTACACACAGGACTCGAGAATTGGATCACTCCCCAGGCACAAAACCTGCTGACGATCCAGGTGGGATACAACATGACACACCAGATGGAGCACTTCAGTCTGGAAATGACGGAATTCCTATCTGCTTGGAAGCCCACAGTTTTCTTGTTGAGTTCTTTTCTCAACTCTGAAGGTCGTACGGCCTTTGGAGACATTCAACCAGAGCAAGTCTTGCGGCAGCTATCTATTCAAGCATTAGAAAAGATTCCAGCTCCGCAGCCTGTGTCCTTCCTGGCCTGTATCATGGAGAGATTTCAAACCGCAAACTCATGCACCGACTGGGCAAAGATTATTGGTCTAATCACAGACTACATTGACGACTTGTATGTTATTCTCGATCTTGGAGTCGTCCACGCCCAACATATTGAGCTCTTGCGAGGCACTTTTAGAACTCTCCTCTGCGAGACCCAATCCCGGGGCCGTTTGAAGATCATGTTGATGAGCAGTCGTAAATCGGAACCTGTGGTCGATGCGACGGAGATAGTAATCAGTCCGACTGGAAACCGTCGGCTACCTTTGAAGTCGAGCTTGTCATCGGTACAGAAGAGTCTGCTGTCAAAACTTGAGAAAGGCGATACAGCAGCAAATAAAGCAGCCAACGCTACGACCATACGCGCGGTGTCAGAGGCATTATTGACGACAACACCAGGAAGCCAGTAAGGAACTCCACTACGTAAAGGGCACGCGACTTTCTCAGAAACTGACAGTTTGTCTCAGAGAGTCGGCTTATATGCCTCAAACTAACGCCGCCTCGATATCCAATGTACCAGCCTTTCCTGAGTTGGTTTACCATTCGCATGGGGCTCCGAGTTCTCAGGAAACCAGGACAACGACATACAATCCTCCATGCATACATGAGAATTGCGTCCGCTGCAGACTGAACGATACCGAAGCCATCCAAAGACTTCATCCAGCACCACTGGGCGCAGACCATCGAGGCACACAGGGCACAAAGACCCAACAAATCTTCAACGGCGAAAAACAAAACAAAGTCACTATTGCCATTCTTTGTGCCTTGCCACTGGAGTCTGACGCTGTCGAGGGGCAGTTAGATGAGTACTGTCTAACAGAATCACTACCAAACCAGAAGGTTGCTTGGGATACCAACACATACTCTAGAGGAAGGATCGGTCGTCACCATATCGTTCTTGTTCACCTTGCCGGCATGGGAAAACGCGACGCCGTTGCTGCGGCCACCAATTGTAAGGCTAGCTTCCCAGACATCAACCTAGCGTTGGTGGTTGGTATTTGCGGCGGAGTTCCCTCGTATGTGAACGAGATTCAGAGGGAGGTTGTGTTGGGAGATGTTGCTATCAGTGAAGGTCTCGTCCCGTTTGATTTCGGGAGACGGTATCCTGACCAGTTCGTAATGAAAGACGAGTTGGTTGATATATTGGGGAAACCGCCGTTGGAGATAAGGTCATTGCTGAGCAAACTAAAAACGCAAAACGGCCGAAGATATCTCACAGAGAGAACACGCCAATATCTGGGGGATTTTTCATATGATCTTCAAAATTATGCGGTATATCCTGGGGTGGCTGAGGACAAGCTGTATGAGGAAACCTACCGCCACAAACATCGCTCTTCGTCGCCTTGTCGGATTTGCAACGAAGATAACGATTTAGTATGCGAAGAAGCCAGATCCTCATCTTGCGAAGACCTTCGCTGCAGCAATGACAATCTGGTACATCGAACTCGTCTTGATCAACAGGGCAGTCGCGGACCTTCGATACATCTTGGTCTAATGGCATCCGGAGATCAAGTAATGAAGTCAGGCGAACATCGCAACGATATTGCGAAGAGACATAACGTTATAGCATTCGAAATGGAGGGCGCTGGAGTTTGGGACACTTTCCCCTGTATCGTTATAAAAGGCGTCTGTGACTATGCTGATAGCCACAAGAACAAGAAGTGGCAACGATACGCTGCCGCTACGGTGGCAGCTTGCATGAAGGCACTGCTGGATGAATGGATTATGACAAGCTAGGTATTATGCCTCCGGGGTGAGCTGCCAGATCCTGTTACACCCATAGTTCATCTGAGGCGTGCGAAAGTTATAGAATGGTTAAGATCAAGAGTTTTGTCGCGCTGCACGAATGTAGCTTTACTTCGGCCATTTTCCAAAAAAACATGAGGACAGCGCTATTGGCGTTAATTTCCAAGCCAACGCCACCAAAATGAACATGCAAACAAACAAACAGGGGTGGAAGACTTTTGTATACCTAACCATGGGAAGGGCCAAGACAAAGATTGGAAAAATCAGCAAATCAGGAGGCTGCCGTGTTCTATGATCCTCAAACTAGAAATAGCAGCGCCCCGGAAGCGTCCGAGGAAAGGTTCAGCATCATGTCGATGTTGTGGGTAAATAAGAAGTATCCCGAAGTCCCGAGGCAACGGTTGCCCAGTGTGTAACTTTACCTGAAAGCAAACACTGCCGAACATCTAGCCTGGTCCCTGTTCGGTGGCTTGTTTGATAATCCTTGGCAGATCGAGGGACAATGCTGTGGCTCTCAGAAGAGCACTCATCAAATTTTCCAATGCTATCCGTCCAATTGAACAGAGAAGTGTTTCCCAAGGCCACAAACAGCTACGTCGTGCGATACCTATCTGCTTCTGCGATGTCATTCCTGTTGATGCGAGGCCTGGGCATTGGGCTGGGATTTCTCAAAATGATCCAGCGCCATTGTAGTCATCTTGGCCTCATCTTGGACGGGCCTTTACTTGGAGCACTGGTCTTAAGATCATCCCTAACGATTCTGATTTGGCACCACATGGTGGTCATGGTTCCTTCTTGGAGCGGATCGTACTCTTCGAGCCCGAGTCCCTAAAAGTCCCGTAGGCATGGGCCTTGAATTTTAAGCAAGTTCTTTGCAGGGTACGATTTATTCTCGGACTGAAGAGCCTGGGGTGCAATTGGGTTAGACCAAGGTTTCACCGAGAGTCCGGCGTCTTGAGCCGACTTTTCCGATGACAACAGTAATTTGGTTGGCTGTTTTCAATAATCTGGATGATTCAAGCCGTTTGATCACGCAGTTGAACTCCTCATGGTGATCTAAGTGGCTTGTTTGCGTGTCATCTCTCAAGCCCATTACACAACCACTCCTGGCCACGTGAGAGATGAGTACGGCAGACATCTTTGTGATAGGCCCAGCAGACATCACGCAATGCCTAGAAAGCCCCTCTAGAGTCTCGACCGTTGATATCAAATGCCAAGGAACATGTTTGCTCCAAATTCTAACCGGCTCGAGCGGCCATCATGAGTGACCCTTGTCCCCTGTACCCCGCAAACCAACAGGTAGGTTCTCGTTTCTGATGGTTTCTTTGCCAATCGAAAGCAGGAGCCTGATTTTTTGCAGCAGCTAGATGCAAGGAAAGCAGGCCCAGACCACTTTCAACCAACAATGCAAGGTCCGAGTCTCCTTCGTTTCCATATCCTCCCCTATTGTGCAATAGTTCAATGCAAGCAATAGTCGCAGAGAGGCACCTGCGTCGTTGGATGCCGCCAAGCCGATTGGTCTCCCACTCTTCGGTATGCAGGGGTTTCCACCCCCAACGCCCGCGTCTGCCATTGACCAGTAATGGTCCAAGACAGATGAATATCGCTCTTTCAAGAGGTCAACTTCGCTAGTGTCTGAGGCGATGTTTGCCCTCACCATCCGGGCGGCGCCGAGGCTCGAGAATTGGCCCAGAGCCAAGGGCTGCCTCGGGTGGCTATCAACGGATTGCTGGGACGACTGCATTCGGCTTGGGAGTTGAACATTGCGAAAGAACTCGAATCTTAGCCTTTGAAATCTCTATAAAGACACTGTTATACTGAGGCGTCATGTATTCTCCCTTTCTGTCTTCACTCGTTCCAGCTCATCCTCAAAGAGCAGACAAGAGACGATAACTTAATTCCAACGAGCCTACCGACCATCATTCAGTCTTTTCACTCCCAAGTCTAACCCTTCAACGCTTCTTCTCTTCTCTCCTCTTCTGCTCATCCACAGTTACCACCATCATCATGCAGTTCCTTACGACCATCCTCGTGGCAGCCGCCGCCGTCCAGGCCATCGCTCTCCCGGACCCCGTCGCCAAACCCGCCCCCAACCCAGTCGCCGAAGCAGACCCGTGGTGTACCAAGCCCGGACAGCCATGCTGGAAGCGTGCCGTCGAGGCTATGGACAGACGCGAAGCCCTCCCTGAACCCGTTGCCAAGCCGGCGCCAAACCCCGTTGCCGAGCCCGAGCCGTGGTGCACCAAACCCGGCCAGCCCTGCTGGAAACGCGCCGTCGAGGACGCCATGCTAGAAGCCGTCAGGCGCGCAGCCCAGCCCGAGCCCGCTCCCGTCGCAAAGCCCGCCCCCAACCCCGTCGCGGAGCCGGAACCCTGGTGCACCAAACCGGGCCAACCGTGCTGGAAGCGCACCGTGGAGGACGTCATGGACGAGATGCTACGGCGCGAGGCCCAGCCCGAGCCGGCCCCCATCGCCATGCCCGCTCCCAACCCTGTCGCGGAAGCTGCGCCCTGGTGCACGAAGCCCGGCCAGCCTTGCTGGAAGCGCGCGGTCGAGGCTATGGAGAAGCGCCAGCCTGTTCCGGCGCCTGCTCCTGTTGCGAAGGCCATGCCGAACCCTGTTGCGGTTGCGGACCCGTGGTGCACGAAGCCTGGGCAGCCGTGCTGGAAGAGGGCTGAGCAGGAGGGCAGGGTTGTGCCTGTCACGACGGCCTGGTGATGAGGTATGCGATCTCTCTGCTTTACCAACGACATGCCACTCGCTAACAAGTTTCGACAGCTTTGTCTCAAACCGTCGGTCGACTTCGACCAGGCTTTTCTCTTTCTCTTGTGCGATATTTGAAGGTCAGGGCGTCATAGTAGGGGACGCCATAAGAACTTGGGTGAAAATAAAACCAATAACCAAAATAATGCACGACCACCACATACAGACACTTTCCTTCGCCATTATCTTCTTGTTCTTCTTCTTTAGGTGGCTACTTGCCGCCGGTGGGACGTGGGTGGTCACTTGTTTCTTGCATCGATGGCGGCGCTTCTCTTGGCAGAAGGAGCCGCCCTTTCTTTCACCCATGTATTTTAGTGGTCGGGTTTTTCAGTCGATGCCAAGTCTCGCAAGGAGAATTCGTGCATTGAACGGAACCCGCTGGGACGCTTGTCCTCGTCGTGTAATACAGGAATGTTGAGGATTCCGCATGTTTGATGGCTTTTAGTGGCGTGACCCATACGCAAAATTGAAAGGCGCGACGGGAGCCGGCCGTAATGGCTCGTGAAGGCTTCAGACATCGTGATCCCAGTCTCATCGACTTATTCGCCATAGACCTCTCGTCATCGGTCGACCAGATGGCGGGCAGGTCTCCACCAGCTTCGAAGTTCACAGGCTGCAGGCTCGGCAGGGGATGAGGCTGAACATTTTCACAGCGTGACGACGCGCACGCCTCGAACCAAACGGGAGGATGGGAATCGTCTCAGTCGGTAAGCAGGACGTGAGTTCTTGATCTATCGTCAGGCAAACGGCGACATGGCGTCAGTACCTGAGACCGAGGGCGAGATTCGCACGATCACATCCCGGCACGAGATATGAGATCTGGGATCCTCTGCACGAGGCACGCAGTGAGGCAAGGCAAGACTACGATGCCTACACTCATAATAAGCCAGGATACACTTCACAGATGGAAAATTCGCATCGTGGCAGACCATACACGCGCACAAATACTGCGCGTGGTCGAAAATATGTACGTTCAATCATTGCGCTCCTCCTCACTTGCCCGAAGGCATAGGAGCACCGCACCCAAGATTGTTCGATTCCTTCTCCATTTCGATCTCCGTATCCAGTGGTCCTGGGCTCGTACAAGCGAACCTCTCACCAGAAAGAATCACGAGAACATGAATGTGATTTTTTGCGTTGTTCAATAATATGAAGAAGAGAAGAAGAAAACAAGCAAAGGTTGCGCAGCGCGGACCAACTTTTGTAGCCGCGACGAGATTTTTTCGTGTGGATGCCTCAGGCACACGTGCTAAGGCGACCGTCGCCGACCCAAGTGACCCAGGCGGGCGGGACCACCTGCCCTTTCAAACGGGAAGGGTCCAATCGGCCCCTGCGCCTTCTGTCGCTGACACCCGCGGCCGGTCTTCGGCAAGGTGCAGTTAGGCAGTGGGTCGCCTGTAACGACATGCCGTCACTCGCTGTCGGCGACCATATCCATTTCCTGCCCTCTGAGATGAGTCTCACTCTCCCTCATCCCCCTTAGGTTTTTGTCACAACACAACACCCACGGATAAACCGAGATGGCCAGACCAGCAGCATTAGCGGTTGACGCCGTTCCAAGATTTTTGCTCCCGAGACTCAGCTGGACTGGTCCTGCGACAGCTGCTCAGGCCCTGAGACCCCTCTCGGGATCGGGATGCCATCCGAGCTCTCGCCGACAGCTGCATAGCCAGCCGAATGCCCTCCACGGCGCAACCCGATCCCCGCGATGCCGCTCCAGCAATACCGCCAGCACCACTCCCTCAATCCTCGAGAACCCTGCTATAAGGAGATCTTTCCACGCGACGCCCGCGAGGCAACGTGACCACCACTTCGACACCCTGAAGTTTGTACAGCGGCTCAAGTCCGATGGTTTCACGGAAGAGCAAGCCGAGGCCATGATGAAGGTCCTCAACGACGTAATCCAGGAGAGGTAACACACAATTCCTCGCCCATGATCTCGAGGCAGCCGAAACTAACGTGCCAAAAGTATCCAGAACCTCACCCGAACCATGGTCCTCCGCGAAGACGCCGCCAAGGCCACCTACACCCAGAAAGTCGACTTCGCCAAGCTGCGCTCCGAACTCCTGTCCGCCGATAGCACCGAGTCAAACACCACCCGCGCATCGCACGAGCGCCTGTCCAACGACATCGCGAAGCTGAGCTCGCGCCTGCGCGACGAGATCGGGCGCACCCAGGCTAGCGTCCGCCTCGACCTTAACTTGGAGAAGGGCCGCATCCGTGAGGAGGCTGTCGGGCAGGAGCTCAAGATCAAGGAGACGGAGACCAAGATCGAGCAGGAGGTGGCGGCGCTGAGGGAGAAGCTGGAGCAGGTCAAGTTCCAGACGCTGCAGTGGCTGATGGGTGTTTGCACTGGTTTCGCGGCGCTGTTGCTCGGTGCTTGGAGATTGCTCATGTAAAAAGTCTTGCGTTTGGGTGGAGGCGGTACTATTCAATGTGACGATGCGGACGGCATTGCTGTTGATCGGTTCGAAAAGGGTGCTGATTTCATATGGGTTCCTCCCGCGGTAGAGCGCCTATGTCAAGGAAAGCAGTGTGTGTTTCCTAGGGCATCGCATAGACTTCTGACTTTGCGCGAGACCAGGTCTGAATCTAAGGAAGATTTTGCGAAAGACAGGAAAGAGTATCTAAACAAGAAAAGACATACGCGGTTCGCCAGCTCTGAATGGGAAAATCCAATGCTGGGCTTCACTTGGCGAAGGGAAACGAGGATCAGGGGCGAGGGCACAGGTGCTCGTAAAGACAGCGACAATGGCACAGCACTTTTTGTTTCCTGCCTCGGACGGAAAGGGCGTCGGGTTTGACTGTAGAGCGCTCCTTCCTCTCGAGCCGCCTCTGTCTCCCACTTCACCCCAAACTTTTCCCCCGACGTCCTTTTTTTGAACTTCAGGTGCAATCTCTCGCACATACCTTCCACCCTCCTCGTACCTTCCACGCCCGACCACAAGCTTCACTCAACACCATTACTGAGCAAGCACGATGTCTGGTGATCCTTGGGAGACGAACGACCCAGCCGACGCCGTCGAGGGCCTCACTCTCGGTCTCAAGCACCCTCCCTCCTTCCAAATGGTGAAGGCTCAGAAGGACGATTTTGTCATTACTGAGGCTGTTTTCGACGTCAAGGCAAGTAAAATTCCCTCGACTTCTGGCAATCTATCTCACGATCAATCTTCATCACAGACCGCTCCTGGCTATCATGAGGAGGATTATGTTGGCTCCCACCGCTGGCTCGAGTGAGCATCACATCCTATTCTGTCAGTGCGACTACCTACTAACGGATTATCGAGGCACTGGTTCCCGTTCAACCCTGAACTCGTGACAATCTCGGTCGGGGATGGCAAAAGTAGTTGCGAATTCTCCATTTCACGCACAATCTTGGCGGAGAACTTCGGCTACTTTGCGACTGCTTTTAACGCCGGCTTGAAGGAGGCTGTCGAGCGAAAGTTCATCATCGCCCCGAAGGAGATTGGCGCCTTTGGCCTCATGATGTCTTTCCTCATGACCGGAACGTTCCCACAACACCCCGACGAGCTAATTCACACGACCCATGCAATCATCCGCGACTCCATCATTGCCTACCGTCAGTCGGACTACTTGAAGCTTAAATGCATGGAGCGCTTCAACCGCGCCATTTGCCTCCGTCTCCGACAGGTGCTTCTTGCCGACCGTGGAGCCCTCAGAGCGGCTCATGTTGGACAGCTCTACAATTTTGTCCGCGACGCTCCGTCCCGCGACTACTACAAGGACCTTGTCAACGTCTTCGCTCAGGCCGCGGTCAAGCCTTGCCTTCATGGATGGATGGTAGGAGCCCAGTCGTCGTCCGTCTCCTGCTCCGTAGCTTTCGACGAGCACTGTGGAAAGGACCCCAAGGAATGGGTAAAGGTTGTCGACCACTACGTCTTCATGGTCAAGAATCACAACTTCTTCGCAAGAGATGTCCAGGCCCAGATGATGAAGACCATGGCCACGGGTCGACGCCTCAACCAAGTTATCCCTGGTAAGTCAGCATTTCATCTCCATATTGCCTTCGTTATCGTCCCGGCTACTGACAATACCTTAGCGCAGGAAGGTGTGAACAAGAAGATCCACAACATGCCCGCTGGCGTTGACTACGTCACTTACCGAGACCCGCTTCCCGAGGGAAAGGCTCAGATCTTCACCATCTAATAGGTTTGAGCTGTTTTTGGTACGAGGGTTGTGACCATTTGCGCCTGAGGACGGAGATGTATGGTCGTCTGTGGTGGTTAGGATAGGTACTCCTTCTTGAGTTGCGACATGATCGAAGGTTGATCATATTTGGCAATGAGCTTCTTGGCCAATGCGATGTATTACTACACCGAAGAAAGAGGCTGGAAGTGAGCTTTTTCGGATCGTTCGGGCAGATGCTCGATCCTTTCTCGGACCGTGCCACATACATTTGTCTCGGTCCAGGAAGAGGGAACATACGAAAGGGCGAAAGCGGTGTTGCTTCCCCTTTTCAACAGCATAGCACAGAGTATTAAACCATGAGATCCATCCAATTTCAAGCCTACCAAGCATCGAAGCAAATTGCTCTGGAGAAGTATCCAGCCGGCCCCGGTTGGGTCCCTGAAGCGGGATCCGGCGTGGATCCGGCGTCAATCCAGGAGAAACGTCCATGCCTGCTTATGTCATCCCGCATGCGGCCAAACATCATTCCGGAAACAAGCTGCCTGGTGAAAGCGGCCACCTCATCAAAATTGCCACGTGACAGAGACAATCCCGCAGAGGCAAGCACGGGCCACGCAGGTCTCAATTGGCTGCAGAGAGCAAGGAACGACAGGAGCAGCTGGCATCAGCGACAGCAGCATCAGCACCCGGCTGCATTAAAGAGTGGACAGCAAACGTCAAACAGCAAATTCGATTGGCTGTCGCGAAGTCAGGCCCAGTGCGCAACAGCGAGTGGTGACTGGACAGCACAGAACCTGGGAGGAACCGACGGCCGGGCCAGCGCCATGCCAGCCAGCAGGCAAGGCCAGGTTACGTCCTGCCCAAAATAATCTCCAAACTTCCACCTGTCGTGGCTAGCCCAGTGACCCAAGGCCAAGTTCTCTCACGCACTACGTATCCCGTGTCCATCCTTCCCATTCCCTCCTCCACCACCACCACCCAAACAAACCATCACCGTTTGCCCTCCAGCTTGTCACCACTGCGAGGTGCATCACCACTCGTCTTTCCCATCTCCTCCTGTTTTCGCTCTTTGTTTCCCTGTATTAATTGCCTTTCGCGCATTCATTCCGGGCTGCAAGGAAGCTATCCACCCCCCCCAGCTCCTTCCCACTTCTCCTTTCTACACGACACCACGTCGCCTGTCACCAATTCCCGCGACCCCCGATTATCACCCTAATCCACCACTGCGAGCAGACGACATCTAGCTCCGCCGTCACGATTTTGCATTCTTGCAACACATACCGCCATCATGGCGCCTCTACCCATCAAGTTCCAGGAGCTGATCCAGCTCCAGACGGCCGGCGTTGAGGATGCGTCGATCGGCTTCAACTCCTGCGTACGTCGCTTCCGCCCATCCCGCCTCACCCGCATCTCCAATTGCATCACTCTTGCTAATGCTGTTCCCTCCAGACACTCGAGTCAGATTCCTACGTCTGTATTCGTGAAAAGAAGAATGAAGCTGCCCAGCCCGAAGTCGTCATCGTCGACCTCAAGAACGGCAACAATGTGACACGACGCCCTATCAAGGCCGACAGTGCCATCATGCACTGGACCAAGCAAGTCATCGCTCTCAAGGCGCAATCAAGAACACTCCAGATCTTCGACCTCGAGAAGAAGCAGAAGCTCAAGTCAACGACCATGAACGAGGATGTCCAGTACTGGAAGTGGATCAGCGACACCTCGTTGGGCTTGGTCACAGATTCCGCAGTCTACCACTGGGATGTCTACGACGCTTCCCAAGCTTCGCCCGTCGAGGTTTTCAAGCGTAACGCGAACCTCAACGTGCGTCTTCGGGACTCTTTGAACCCCTCTTCGCAAATACACAAGCTAATCATTGAGTTTGCAGGGCTGCCAAATCATCAACTACCGAACGAACGCCGAGGGCAAGTGGATGGTCGTTGTCGGTATCTCCCAACAGCAGGGTCGCGTTGTTGGCGCCATGCAGCTGTACTCCAAGGACCGCGGTATCAGCCAAGCCATCGAGGGTCATGCTGCTGCTTTCGGTACCATCCGCCTGGAAGGTGCTCCTGCTGACACCAAGCTTTTCACCTTCGCGGTAAGGACAGCAACCGGAGCTAAGCTGCACATCGTCGAGGTCGACCACGCCGAATCGAACCCCGTTTTCCAAAAGAAGGCTGTCGACATCTTCTTCCCTCCCGAAGCCGTCAGCGACTTCCCCGTCGCCATGCAGGTATCGCAAAAGTACGGTGTCATCTTTATGGTCACCAAGTACGGATTTATCCACGTTTACGATCTCGAGACCGCCGCCTGCATCTTCATGAACCGTATCTCCAGCGACACGATCTTCACTACCTGCCCCGACACCGAGTCTCGTGGTATTGTCGGCATCAACCGCAAGGGTCAAGTGCTCTTCGTCTCGATTGACGACGCCAATGTCATCCCCTACCTTCTCCAGAACCCAGCCAACACCGACATGGCTATCAAGATGGCATCACGAGCTGGCCTCCCCGGTGCTGATAATTTGTACGCCCGCCAATTCGAGCAGTTGTTCAACAGTGGTCAGTTCATGGAGGCTGCCAAGGTCGCGGCCAACTCTCCCCGCCAGTTCCTTAGAACCGCCGAGACGATCGAGCGCTTCAAGTCCCTGCCGCAACAGCCGGGCCAGATGTCGTTCGTTCTGCAGTACTTCGGTCTCCTCTTGGACAAGGGCGCTCTCAACGAGCACGAGTCCATCGAGCTCGCGCAGCCTGTTCTCGCGCAGAACCGTCTTAACTTGCTGGAGAAGTGGCAAAAGGAGGGCAAGCTGACGGCTTCTGAGAGACTGGGTGATCTCGTGCGACCTCATGATCTGAACATGGCTCTTACCATGTACCTCAAGGCCAACATCGCCCACAAGGTCGTTGCTGGTTTTGCCGAGACAGGTCAATTCGAGAAGATCCTGCCTTACACAGCGCAGGTCGGCTACCAGCCTGATTACGTGCAGCTTCTGCAACACATTGTCCGTGTCAACCCTGAGAAGGGTGCCGAGTTTGCCACTGCCCTGGCGAACAACGAGGGCGGCTCCTTGGTCGACATCGAGAGGGTTGTCGATATTTTCCAGTCCCAGGGCATGATTCAGCAGGCGACTGCCTTCCTGTTGGATGCCCTCAAGGACAACAGGCCCGACCAGGGCCACCTCCAGACCCGTCTGCTGGAGATGAACCTGATGAACGCCCCTCAGGTTGCCGACGCTATTCTTGGAAACGACATGTTCTCTCACTTCGACAAGACCAGGATTGCGACCCTCTGCGAGCAGGCCGGCTTGGCTCAGAAGGCCCTGGAGCTCTACGAGGACCCCGCGGCCGTCAAGCGTGTTGTTGTCAACATTGCGGCTACTCCCAACTTCAACCTGGATTGGTTGACTGGCTTCTTCGGCAAGCTGTCCGTTGAGCAGTCTCTGGACTGCTTGGACGCTATGATGAAGCACAACATTCGCCAGAACCTTCAGTCTGTCGTCCAAGTCGCCACCAAGTACTCCGACTTGCTTGGCCCTGTCAAGCTGATCGACCTTTTCGAGAAGTACAAGACTGCCGAGGGTCTTTTCTACTACCTGGGCAGTATCGTCAACCTGTCCGAGGACCCCGATGTTCACTTCAAGTACATCGAGGCTGCCACCAAGATGGGTCAGTTCAACGAGGTTGAGCGCATTTGCCGCGACAGCAACTACTACAACGCCGAGAAGGTCAAGAACTTCCTCAAGGAGGCCAAGCTTCAGGAGCAGCTTCCTCTCATCATTGTGTGCGATCGCTTCAACTTCGTCCACGACTTGGTGCTGTACCTCTACCAACAGCAGCAGTTCAAGTCCATTGAGACCTACGTTCAGCGTGTGAACCCCAGCCGAACCCCTGCCGTCATCGGTGGTCTCTTGGATGTTGACTGTGATGAGAGCATCATCAAGAACCTTCTCTCTACCGTCAACCCTGCCTCGATCCCCATTGACGAGCTCGTGTCTGAGGTTGAGACCCGCAACCGCCTCAAGCTGCTTCTGCCTTTCCTCGAGGCCACCCTTGCTGCTGGCAACCAGCAACAGGCTGTTTACAACGCCCTCGCCAAGATTTACATCGACTCCAACAACAACCCTGAGAAGTTCCTGAAGGAGAACGACCAGTATGACACCCTGGTCGTTGGTAAGTACTGCGAGAAGCGTGACCCCAACTTGGCCTTCATCGCGTACTCCAAGGGCCAGAACGACCTTGAGCTCGTCAACATCACCAACGAGAACGGCATGTACCGCAACCAGGCCCGCTACCTGCTCGAGCGTGCCGACCGCGAGCTCTGGACTTTCGTGCTCAGCGAGAACAACATTCACCGTCGCTCGGTTATCGACCAGGTCAACGCCACTGCTGTTCCCGAGTCTACCGACCCTGCCAAGGTGTCTGAGGCTGTCGCCGCCTTCCTTGCTTGCGACCTTCCTCTTGAGCTTATTGAGCTTCTTGAGAAGATCGTCCTTGAGCCATCGCCGTTCAGTGACAACGCGAACCTCCAAAACTTGCTGCTGTTCACGGCTGCCAAGGCGGATAAGGGTAAGGTTATGGACTACATACACCGCCTCGACAACTTCAGCGCGCCCGACATCGCGTCCGCCTGTATCGACGTCGGCCTCCACGAGGAGGCTTTCGAGATCTTTAAGAAGACCGGCGACAAGACCGCTGCTGTCAACGTCCTCGTCGAGAATGTCGTCAGCATCGACCGCGCTCAAGCCTACGCCGAGGAGGTTGACCTGCCCGAGGTCTGGAGCAAGGTTGCCAAGGCCCAGCTCGACGGTCTCCGCGTGAGCGACTCTATTGAGTCGTACATTAAGGCCGAGGACCCCAAGAACTACGAAGAGGTCATCGAGACTGCTGTCCGTGCCGGCAAGGACGAGGATCTCGTCAAGTACCTGCGCATGGCCAGAAAGACCTTGCGCGAGCCCGCCATTGACACCGCTCTCGCCTTCTGCTATGCCCGCATGGACGAGCTTGGCGAGTTGGAAGACTTCCTCCGCGGCACCAACGTTGCCAACATCGAGGAATCTGGAGACAAGGCTTACGAGGAGGGTCTCTACCAGGCTTCCAAGATCTTCTTCACCAGCATCTCCAACTGGGCTAAGCTGGCCACGACGCTCGTTCACCTTGAGGAGTACCAGGCTGCCGTCGAGTGCGCTCGCAAGGCCAACAACATTAAGGTCTGGAAGCAGGTTCACGAGGCCTGCGTTGAGAAGAAGGAGTTCCGTCTTGCCCAGATTTGCGGTCTCAACCTGATCGTCGACGCTGAGCAGCTCCAGACACTCGTTAAGCAGTACGAGCGCAATGGCTACTTCGACGAGCTGATTGGCCTCTTGGAGCAGGGCCTGGGTCTCGAGCGTGCCCACATGGGTATGTTCACCGAGCTTGGTATCGCTCTGTCCAAGTACCACCCCGAGCGTCTCATGGAACACCTCAAGCTCTTCTGGAGCAGAATGAACCTGCCCAAGATTATTCGTGCCTGCGAGGAAGCCAACCTCTGGCCCGAGCTGGTCTTCTGCTACTACCACTACGATGAGTTTGACAACGCCGCCCTTGCCGTTATTGAGCGCCCCGAGAACTCTTGGGAGCACCAGCAGTTCAAGGAGATCGTTGTCAAGGTTGCCAACCTGGAGATTTACTACCGCGCCATCAACTTCTACCTCGAGCAGCACCCGTCCCTGCTCACGGACCTTCTCCAGGCTCTTACTCCCCGTATCGACGTCAACCGTGTGGTCAAGATGTTCGAGAAGAGCGACAACCTGCCGCTCATCAAGCCTTTCTTGGTTAACGTCCAGTCTCAAAACAAGCGCACGGTGAACAACGCCATCAACGACCTGTTGATTGAGGAAGAGGACTACAAGACGCTACGCGACTCAGTTGAGAACTATGACAACTACGATCCCGTTGAGCTCGCCGCTCGTCTTGAGAAGCACGACCTGATCTTCTTCCGCCAGATCGCCGCCAGCATCTACCGCAAGAACAAGCGTTGGGAGAAGTCCATCGCTCTCTCCAAGCAGGACAAGCTGTTCAAGGATGCCATCGAGACTTCCGCCATCTCTGGCAAGAACGATGTTGTGGAGGACTTGCTCCGCTACGTAAGTATTCCTGTCCCGTCCAAGTTACCCAGCGCTAACCATGATTTCAGTTCGTCGACATTGGCAGCCGCGAGTGCTACGTCGGCATGCTCTATGCTTGCTACGACCTCATCCGTCCCGATTTGGTACTGGAGATCTCCTGGCGCCACGGTCTTACCGACTTCGCTATGCCCTACATGATCAACATGCTGTGCCAGCAGACGAAGGAGCTTGCGACCCTCAAGGCCGACAACGAGGCCCGCAAGAGCAAGGAGAAGGAGAAGGAGAAGGACGAGGACAACACCCCTATCCTCGGCGGCAACCGCCTCATGATCACTGCCGGCCCCGGCGGCATGGGCGGTGGCTCTCCCGCGCCATATGGCCAAACGAACGGATTCGCTCCCCAGCCCACCGGCTTTGGATTCTAGATGAGAGTGCCCGCTACGACTTGGACATATGTACCTCAGCAGCAGCAGTACACGCTGCAGCGACCAGTCTCCAACATGCCGATGCCTAATCTCATGGGCAGTAGGGGATATCACACACTCGGGCCAATGTACCCAGTGTCAAAAATTCTATGAACGCGGGCGGAGGCGTTGTGTTAACCGAGGGTTCCCTGTAATCGTATCTTCTTTGCTCTCTGGACGGATGAGCTTTTCAGGCAGGCGGATGACTTTTACGCGGGGGAAATTGAGGGGTGCAAATTTTGTTATTTGCACACACGACCTAGACTCACCATTATCGATTCAGAGGCAGTGCGAGCCTGGAGAAAGAGCTCGCGCCCAAAACTGTATGATAGTCTATTGATGTTGGTTTTCTTACGACATGATGTTCCCCAGTGCGTGATACAATAAGTGCATAGCATGTGGTGCTGGGTTGATCCTAAATATAACAGTGGCTACGAGCAACACTAGCTTTAGGATATTGATCGTTTGGGCATCTCCGATTAAGGGTCCGCCCTGTCACCGCCGTTTGCCCTACTGTTATCTCGATGATGGCTCCCGTTTTACTCATCCTCGTCCGTTGATGGTTTTCCTCATTACTTGTTCTTATTTCGGAATACTCCTTGGATCAGGGGTTTTGAGTAAACTAAGGGTATGAGATTTTTTTTTTCGCGACAGACTACTCTCCTAGCGCTAGATGGGCTCTCGTCCATACACACCATCAGGAACTCCTCATTCGGCTTGGCCGTCAACGAAGAGTGCCAGTGTGATCATTCATACACAAGGCTAGGTGCCGCTCGAAGTTCATCAGGCCAGCGAAGCAGTCTCGTTTGTATCAACTGGCCATAGGAACGGGGTTTTGCCAGGCTTGGGCTCTTCTTTTGCAGATCTTTTTGCGGAGGCAGCGGAAGTGTAATTTTTTGGCGAGTATAAATTCTGCATCAAAGTCGAGAGGCTGCGTTCTTCCTCAATGCAGTAGCATACCTATTGTTTCTCTTCGGTGCTATGAAGTGGCCTTTAATAAGGAAGTCACTGCTAGCACCGACAGCGGAGCGAAGAGTTCAAAAAGACATGAGCTGAGCCAGGGCGTGTTTCGATGGTTCTTTCTTGCGTTTCTGTCGTCCGTCTTGGTCGGTCCTGGGATTATTCATGGCCATTCGGAAGGAGAGTAGGAATTGGGGTTGTTTGTTTGTTGGATTCTCGTGCAGAATGAAACTGGAGACATGAAGACAGTTTGCTCGCTTAATAGAAGATAGCTAGCAAATCGAAAGTATATCACCATCGTTTGATTGCCGGTGAGCATAAGTTGTGGAGAGGAAAACAATGTGTAATTTATGGCACAGAAGACCCTGACTGCTCGCCTGAGGGAACGAGTCAAAAGGCAACGGTTGCGTTGGGTAGTTGAGACTTTGACGGCAACCAATGGACAGGAATGAAAACAAGAGACGCTTTTTTCGTTGATCGCGATTTTCCTTCCCAGCTTTCTTGGCGGGAAGTCCCTCTTGATGTATACGAGGCATCTGTTATCACCTTTTCACCTCTTGGAGTATTCAGAAAGTTTCAACTTAGGATGACAGAGAATACAATTGTGTAATTAGTGTGGGCTTTGCTTAGACGCCTTCGGCGGATTAAAAAGTAATTTGACGGTCCCTAGTGCCATGCATGCTGGCATGAATTTGGATCTCAGCCACTCACTCAAACCTGACAACAACGATATTCGCATCGAATCTATTCTGCCTTCATATTTGATTCATTCAATTCATACACATTTATACGTGTACGATTTGATGGCAACTTGCAGAGGCGGGTTTAGTTCCATGCGCTAATAGTGCAGCCTGAATCCTGATCTAACGCGTTCCTTCATACATTATAATATAAAGGCCAGCTTTGACTTCTGAATGTGTTTTCTCTGATGAGAATGTTACTCATTGGATAATACTGATTGTTCCCAGTGTCTTCCAGTAGATATCGAGAGCTCTGCCAGACTGCGTTTAAGGAAGCCGGCTGGTCGGAGCAGACTCACCGCTCATTTAAAGCATCTCTTGTTTCTCTGTTTCGTCCACCAACAGGTCTTTCCTGAGATTATTCCCGCTTGGCACTGATGCATTCTCAGACATTGCGTAGCTTCCAGTGGATAACTTAGGAGTAGAAAACCAGATGATGTCTAGGTTTCCGGACGACTGTTCGGCGGTGTAGACTATCAAGAGGCACCCCGAAATCGACGAAAATTGAATTTTTCAATCAAGAAATCCGACCGATAGACATATTTGGTATTTATAGATGATAGTCAGTCACTTCTTGTTGGGATAGACGTGCGTGCTGGACCAGCACAGCGTTTCGGACTCCAACGGCGGTCTACTTTAAAATCTGACAAGTCGACAGTGTCAACTCTCTCAACAAGAATGATCGGTTGAGAATTCAAGTCTTCAACTTTGAGAGCATACATCCATCAGCTAGATGGCAGCCTTCGTGTCGTCAACTGTGGGGAACAAAGCATCCGCCCTCGCACTGGAAGCACTCACTCTGTCCCTTTTTGGCATCTTCTTGCGCTCTGCAACGATTCTTGCCCGCATACCCTAAATAACGCGTACTATTTATCCACCATGAGTGGTTCGAGCCTATCATCGGTAACTCAAACACTGCGAGACTCAGCGAATTTGGGCTCTCCTCGTCCTACATAGTACCCGCCGCCGCTCCCTCTAACAAATTTATCGGTTGAGCTCCTTTCTCCAGATTCGTCTCTTTGAACACCGTATAATTCCTTGGAGTCAGGCAGCTTAATGAATTCCTAATGAATACCTGGCAAAGTTCGAGAATGTTTGCAAACCATAAAAATCCTTATCCCATACAAACTTGATTCGCAGGTGCCAATTGTGACAGTATCAACCTGACATAGTTGTACAAATCTTCTACGTACATGGTGTAGTAGGTATATCTTGCAAACTGTCTGTCTCGACTTTGAGTTCTTCGACTGCTCGCACACTATGATTCAAGCTAAGATGGTCAGACGTGATCACTTATTTTCCTCCAGCACAAAGGATAAGCAAGACAGACATGAGATTACAATCCAATACTTGTGTCGCAACTGGCTTCAGGATGAATGCCCGAATTTATTTCCAGTAGCGAAGTCTATGCTAAACTTTATCGGCATTGTCCTGAATACTGCTCCGAACGCTATATTAACCTGGTCGGCAGTCGGTGCAAGTGCCCTCAGGACCAGGCTCTAGACAGTGAAAACCGGGCTACTACTCTGTCAGCGGCTACATCGTCGATGTGGTAATTGGATACTAACTGGGCACTTGGGCGGTGGATCGCTGCCCGCAGGTGTTGGCGTAGCCACAGCCATGGAGACCATGCAAGCTGCGATAACAGCATAAAAAGAAGAGAAACGCATCGTGAGTGGGAGACTGGCTTTGACTCTGATATGGTGATTAACGAAAGAATTTGATGAGCTCTGCTTGTCGCTGAAGTAGACAACGGAGCTGTCTTATAGACATCGAAAGGCGCGGCGAATATTGCTGTAGTGAGCTGAAGAGAGCAAGGCAAAGGCCACAGCGCTTGAATCAGGTTTAAGTTCGCCGGTGAGGCTGCGAAACTAGCTGCTCCGAGAGTTGCGATGAACCGAGTGTCATCTAGATTAAATCTGAAAGCTTAACTGAACCTGCGGCTCTTGAACCTTCTGAATTACTCTGATTCCTAAATTGCAGGTTCCGTCCCTTGTGTTGTGTGTAACGATTTGGGAGATACCCAAGTAATTCTGTTGAAACCACCAGCGTGATCTTATATTAATGTCACAATTCCCTCCTTGCAAAGTGCCTTTGGCAATGTTGATGTTAGCAAGGGGTAGAGAACTGTAGGTAGTGTTGACTGCTTAGAATACTGTCTGTATCTGTGATATACCAGCAGACATCCTAATCACTCTGACCTCAAGCGGAAGAAGATTCCATAAAATTGCAAGGTAACCATTCTTGCCTCGGATCGCGAGTCTAGCGCCCTTGGGATCATGATCTTCCCAGTAGTCACAACCACGACTCGCGTTCGAACCAAAGCCAGCCGGGGTTTAAGTGAACTCCACAACCTCGGGCTTTGTTGCGCGTTGTGAGTCCGATGACAGCTTCGCGGGTCGACAATCTAAGAACTGGGCACTTTTACAGGTGGGAACAAGTTACACACCTAAGGTAAGTCTGAGTCAAACTGTAACAGCAGTAGCAAGACGGAGAAAATGACGTTGCCGATACGGCTAGCTGCTTCAGCATCGTCTATCGGCAGGAGCTCCAGCTTCATTAACGACATTCCTTGTCCGCCGATTTCAGCTTCTTCAATTCGCACTGATGATGATCAATCCTCTCATCCTCATCTGTCTCTAGACTTCAGTCTCACGCTGTACCGCCACCCACTCTTCCCTCGTCCCCCGAAGCACATAACACAACGCCTTACCGCATCTTCCTCTTGCGGCTTGTCATTGAGTCCGTTTAGTATATTGATCCCCTAAGTAAAACGGAAATATCTCTGCGGACATCCCAAGACGTGCGTGTAACAGGGAGTATAAATGCAAAATATTTCCATCCACTTGTATCTGCCAATCTTTGCGATCAGAGTCTCGATGCGGCCCATCCATATGAGAACCCGGCCAACGTTCTAAGATAGTTTGCCTTAAGGCGGCTGGGGATGGTGCCGGATTAGACGTATTGTTTGGCTTTGCCCATCACTTCAATTTGCACCAGAGCGCAGATAGCCAACGGCAGAGGCGGGTGACCCGGCCGAATGCCAGGCAAACCTGTCCCACGAAGGCTGTCCTCAGGCGTTCGCCGCCTGACGAGTTTCAGAGAGATGTCACGAGAACGTGGTGCCAAGATATATGAGTAGGAACGGCCAATCCCATCATCAATTCATCGCCGTCTGCCAAAGTCTCTGGCCTCATTCCGCTCAACGTCTAAGCATGCGCTGAATATGTGAACCTCCAATAAATTCAAACCCCAAAACGCCAAGTCTTTCGATTATGTTGTGAATTAGTGCAGCTCCAGCGGTGCGGAGATTGATCTACGCTCTTTCTCTTTAGCTTCCGTCATGGGCTTCGCATCGGTGATCCTGAGCCATTCGCCGTTGAAAGCGTTGATGAGCCAGTTGCTGAGTTCTAGATTACGTGTAAGACAGTAGACCAAGATAATCAGGGAGGTGGATACATACTATCGTAGACAATCTTGTTCGCGTTGTGAAAGTAAATGCCATGGTCGCTGTCAGGGAACACATGAACGTCGTAATTCTCAACGCCCTCGAGGTTGAGCTTGTCGAGAAGCGTGAGCGTGCTTTGGTAGTGTACGTTATCGTCGGCGACACCGTGCATCATCAACCAACGCACGTTGCCAGCGAGAGCAGATACATTGGTGACGGCCGTCTGCTGATACCCGTTCGGGTTCAGCTGCGGCGTCCGCATGTAGCGCTCTGTGTAAATGGAGTCGTAGAACCTCCAGTCTGTGACGGGGGCGACCGCCATACCGTAGCTGAAAGTCTGGCCAGCGTCCATCTCGAGCGTCTTGAGAGTGTTGAAGCCGCCGTAGCTCCAGCCCCAGATGGCGATGCGCGAGGAGTCGACGTACTTCCGAGCCGCCCAGTTCTTCGCGGCGGCAATTTGGTCGTGCGCCTCCCAGTGACCGAGCTTCTCGCGGACGAGTACGCGGTTCTTGCGGCCGATGAAACCGGTGCCGCGGCCATCGACTGTGACGACGATGTAACCTAGTGCTGAAGCGACGTACGACTGGAAGTCGACCGAGAACTTCTTCGCCACAGATTGCGAGCCAGGGCCGGAGTACTGGTGGAAGAGGACAGGGTACTTCTTCTTCTCGCTGAAGTGCGGAGGGCGGCGCTCGACGTAGTTGAGCTCAACGTCATCCACTTTGATGGTGCCGTACTTGAGAAGGGGAAGCTCGTATCTCTTAGCGTTCTCGGCTAATTCCTTGTTCTCCTCTACTATGTGCTCGTACTTGTTGGGGTTGCTGGGAGTGCTGACGACCTTTTGCCAGGGAACCTTGGGGCCGAGGTAAGAGAGGAGACTGAAGCCCGCGCCGCTGGAAAATGAGATGTCATAGTAGCTCTCGAAGCTGGTGTCAGTAAAGGGCTTCATGTCAGTGCCGTTCAGGTAAACACTGTAGACGTGGCGCTGGATGGAAGACTCCTTGGTGGAAACGAAATACACCAAGTTGTTCTTCAGATCAATTGCAGACGGGCCGCTGACTACCTCCCAGGGGCCGGAAGTAAGGTAGACAGGTTCAGGGTTGTCCATGGGAGAAAAGTACGCGATATGGTCACCATTGTCGTGAACAACCGTATCGACATAGCCGTCCTCGGGGCGTCCGTTGGCAGGGTCCGCGGGAATGAACTGGGTTTCGTGGGATATCTCAAACCACCCGCCGTCAATCTTTCCGACGTCAATGGTGTTGACAGTTTTGGCAGAGCGAGCGACAACATCGACAAGGACCACACGCATAATGTCACTCACGCGGTTGGTCTCCTTGATCAAGACCTTCTGGTTAGCCCAGAGAACCATGTTGATTAGTCGGTCGTCGTCGGGGAAAGCATCGTTGATGTCAACCGAGAAGACATCGCCGCGGGCCACGTCGTAGAAGAGAATGTCCACGACAGGGTTGTGACTGCCTGCGCGAGGGTACTTGATGCGCTTCTCATCCGGGTAGGTCTCCTCGCCTTCGGGCTTCTTCTTGCCACTAGGTCTTGAGACGAAGTATTGCAGCGGGTACTCAGGGACACCCGTCTCGTTCGTGCGCAGGAAGGCAATGTACTTGCCATCCTCGGAGAACCAGGTGGCGCTGTTACCGGCAAAGACTTCCTCCTCGTACACCCAGTCAGGAATACCGTAGAAGTATTCAGGCCCACCATCCTTGGTGATCTGAGTGACCTTCTTCGTGGCTAGGTCTCTGAGGTAGAGGTTGTTGTCCCTGGTGAAGACGATGGCATTGCTTTGAGGGCTCCATGTCGCAAGCTGCACGCGACCGGAAGCGTCATCAGGGTCGAGTGGCTCGGTAGTTTGCGTCTCAACGTCGAAGATCCAGTACAGCGCAGTGAAAGAGTGGCGCCAGTTGTGCTCCCGGTCAGTCGAGACGAGGACCTTCTTCATGTCCTTGCTCGGACGGCCGTCGAAGGGCGTCAATTGACGGCCATTGTACTCGATCCATGGGTTCTTCATGAGCGTGCGGCTCTGAACGACGTCGGCAGATACCTGGCCAGCCGCCTTGTTGCCAGATCTGATGTCCTCCACGACGAGGTAGTCCTTACCCCGCGCACCTTGTTCCAGCAGCAGCCCGTCCTCCCCGTTCGGACCCTCGATCCAGCTGACCGAGTGCGAGTATGGCGACCAGAAGCCGGACATGACCTGATCCAGCGTCACCGGCTTCCCGGAACCGCGCTGCGTCGCCGAGGGGTCGTGGTCGACCTTGCTCCCATGCTGATATGATTTGTTCGTCAGGAAGACGAACAGCGCGGTGCCCCACGCGAAAAGAAAGGCGATGCCCAGTATTAACAGCCCCTTCTTCAGCCCGCGATCCATCCCCACGCGGCGCACAATGCCGGCGGCACCGGGGGCCATCAGCGGCCCCGTCTCGAGGTCATTGGTATCGGACTCCTTCAGGTCATTCTCGTCGTCGAAGTCGTCGGGATTGTCGGCGTATGCGCCACGGGAGGTGGATGGAGCGCGACGCCTCTGGGAGGCAGACGAGGAAGTGTAGGTTTGCTTCTCATTCTGTTCGTGCAGGCGGTCGAAGACGAGGCTCGTGGTGGAAACGGTCGAGATGGATGATTCGTGGGACATCCTGGGATCCTCGCTGTCGGTCGGTTGACGAGAGGCGGAGGCGGCGGATGGAGCGGCCATGGTGAGACTTGATATCTCGGCGAGATGGCGCCAAGGGAGAGCAGAGATAAGGTGGTAGAGGAGATGGGATCGAAACTACTTGGATTCGGTCGTGACTTGAAACGGCATGCTGTCTCGAGGCGGCTTCAGGCCTCTTTGGGAAATCGGGGTAGACGACGATGGCACATGGATCGGAGCGCGGGTCACGAGACGGAAGGGTGAAGACGGAGACGGAGACGGGCTGGTATGTGTATGTACGTGCGAGTGTCGAGCCGAGTCAAGGCAGTGCCAGTGCCCAGAGTTGAGAAACAAACTACCTGACCCAGGTGTTTGGCGGATTGGAGACAAAGGACAATGGGAAGCTGGATGTGTTTGCTGCGCGATGGTGGGTGCGGTGCGTGCTTGCTGTGGGAGGTGGCAGGCCCCTGGCACCACAGTGAAATGGAAGTAGCTTAGCTGGCCTGGACTGGACTTTGGTGCGCGAATGAGTTTGTCACAGCTGCAGGAAGGGCCCCCAAAAGCGACCCCAGACCAGGAACACCTTCTCCAATGGAACGGCACGCTCTATTCACGGATGCGGAGTGGCCTTGGCCCGTTTCAATTGTCACATTCCCACTCAGTGCTAGCCGGCCACCTGGGTCCGTCGCTTATCTGCTTATCGCTCCTTGCAGGCCCTTGTAGAAGGATTTCGGCTTGATGCAATCTCATCCTCCAATTCATCACTTCGGGAAGGGACTGTGCGATGACATTCGTCCAACCTTCGAGCAAACATTTTGTGGACAATTAACTGAAGCTGGCTTCCATCTGCCTGGCTCGCCAGGATGATTGGCGGTAGAAGGGGCAGGCTGACTGACTACAATCTCAGAAAACACACCATCAAATCCCAAAAAAGCTCCAAACAGTGGCATTGGTATCAAAAAACCCGCATCCCCCAGAATCACACCAAAAATGAAACCATCTCAACCCGCCAAGCCAACTTGAACCTCACCACAACCTCCCCTATTCTTGTTCGCATCCCCTCCCCCTCCCCCTACTGAACGTCCTACGCATCAGCAAGCTGCGGCGCAACGGCCGCCTCCTCGTGAATCTTCTCCACCACGCACGCCGTCCCGTACGCACACGTCTGCGCAAACCCGCCCAGGTCCGACGCGTCGAACCGCAGACAGATGATTGCATTCCCGCCCCGCTGCTTACACTCCGTCACCACCCGGCCCAGCGCGTCGTTGCGGCAGTTGTACAGCATCGTGGTAAACCAGCGCAGCTCGCCGCCTGCGAGCGACTTGATCACCATGCCCAGGCTCGCCGCGATGTTGCGGCTGCGCACCGAGAGCCCGTAGACCGCGCCGAGCGTGCGGACGACCCGGTACCCCGGGATGTCGAACATGGCTGTAGGGGAAGTGAGCATGTGCTTGAGAACAGTGAGGGTGGTGACAACGACGTACTTGTGGTGATTACCCCGCCGGTCTCTGTGAAGCAGTGCAGGTCCGAGAGCTCAGGTGGGATGTTGGCGACGTCGTCGGCCTTTGCATCGCTTTTTCTGCCCATGAAGTTCATCTTCTTCGTCAAGGCAAGGCTGTACTTTATTTGACTGATTATATCTGAAGGTCGAGTGCATGCAGTCTGCGATGGCGATGATGAGCAACAGCTTTACCACCCACAAAATGGGAAATCCCACCCAGTATATATACCCATAATCATACGTGAGGTCTCTCAAAAAGCCTCATGCTCCTCCGTCGTTTCCTCATCAAATGAGGCCAGCAACGTGCCGGTAAGTCGGGCATAATCATCGCGCGGGCTTTACCGTCATAGACACGGCCCCACTCGGCGCAAAGCCCCGCCTGCCATTGGGTCCCCGCGCCGGACCGTATTTCGTATCTGCATCAACGAGAGACACGCGACGGACCCGAGTGGCTGGTGCATGCCCCGCGCCACCCCAAGTTCTTGCTCTAGCGATGGGTCATCTTGCATGCATTGCGGTAAGACACCTGATCAGCAGCGAGGGTCTAAGCCTCGCGAGTCGCTCGGTTTCCGGATTGGGTGTTCGGTGAGGACTGCATAGCAGTCGAAGATCGTCATCGTCGCGCGGATGCGTCAAGTCCAGACAATCATTCTAATTTGGCGTCCAGATCCTAAGTTCATTGAAGAAGGGTAACGGCTTTGAAAATATGGGGCAACACTTTGAATTCTTCTGTTAAACGCCAGTGACGGTAGCTTCCATCATAGCTGGTTGAACGTCGCATGTCCCATTACCACCTAAAGACACAATTGTCACAACGAAGGTCGATATGAATTTGCAAATTGAACTCCCCAGCTCTTCCCTCCCGTTGCCGTCCTATACCGGCGGCTATGAGGGGTTTCGCAATACACACTAACGTATTCCAAAAGCTGGATACCGACTAACGATTGCTCAAGAGACCGAACAATTGCCAGAAACAAAGATAATTTTGCATGCGTATAGAAATGGTTGGTCAGACAGACAACACACATCGACGGGAGACTACTCAACATGTATTTGCTGCACAAGTCACCTGTTTGAAGCCTAGCCAAGCTTTTAAAGAATGAGATGGTTAGGAATACCGAGTCCGCCGGTTCAAGAGGATCGATTCCCCGGGAGCTAACGAATTGGGAGGGACCAAGTTTAGTACGAATCTTAGCTTAGGCTGTAAAATGCCTGGATGTGAAGATGTCCACGTATGCCCTATGATGCCACGTGAACAGAGTCGAAACCGGACTGCGAATGTCCACACACCCATAGTAGAGCCCAAAAAGCCTTCAAGACCGCTCTCGTGTTCCCCTTTGAACCATTTTCGTGATTCAGTGTTTACGTAGGCATGGATACTCGTCACGAAGCCGCAATTTGTTTCTTACCTCCCCTCATCATTTGCGTCGTCTTACATCTATTGCCCCTGTATTTGAAATGTATTTATGCGTTAAGGCTCAGTCATCAGCAACGCGCAAGACTACCTGGCAACGCTTTGCAGGTACCTTCAATGGAGTTATCACAGGCAAATGAGACTCTTTTCTCCAGAGCGGCACATCAATCTGATGTATAAAATTGCTCCCCGCGCTGCTAAAGATGTCATGGTTACACTATTAAATACAAAGTTTAACCGGCATTTCTTAGATAAAACCCAGCCACGAGCCTCGAAAGCGAGAGAGTCTTCTTTTGGGAGAATTCAGAAGCACATTATCTTCGTTTCCAATTAGTGTCAACACATGCTTCACTTCCTTCTCTACAGCTTGAATGCGGTTTCTGAACATGAGAGAGACCAGGCCAGTAACTCGCCTGTGTCTACAACTACGCTCTTTCGCCTTCCGTCAACATCTAAGATGTATTCACTTAGGTACCTACATATACCAATACCTTCGTATGTCTGCTCCACGTGGCAACTCACTTTGGTTGGCCCTACTTGTAAATACAATGCTCGAGTATTCTTGGAACCTAGAACACGGCAAACGTTGGTGATCAAATTGACCTACTTTCTCAAAGCAAATGATTAACTCAATATTTATCTTAACTCTGTCAAGTCTCCCGTGTGTTGTGAATCTCTCAATCTCGTATCCTCGACATCGACATAGAAATAATAATTCCTCACAAACTTGAGACTGGGGGCTATAGATTTAAACAAGAGAAAAAGACAAACAAAAAAGAAGGCAAAAAGCTGCCGCGCGACCTTCTCCGTCATATTAAATCTCTAGATTTTGCCATGTACTCCAGCGTTTCCGGAGGGGACGCTTGATCGAATAGACTGGTTCCATGCACAGAAATTGCACTTCGAAGCCAAGGACGCCAATACTTGGCTTCTGATATCTTTTCAGGAAGTCCCGAAGATTTGAAAATCAAATTCTGCTTGTCTCTACTTTTTCATGCTGTCATTCGTTTGTCCTTTATGGACACGTACATCCAACATATCCTACTCATGAAGTCCAGCTAATTACCTCAGGCTCTGCTTTTCCGGCAAGACCAAACCCATGAATTGGAGCGAGGAATGCGATATCGCCAGAAGTCATCTACTAGTGTCCCATGATACAATCTTAGATATCGCCGCTTGCTAGAATCGAAGAACACGGCTGTTCCGACTTCTCGGAGCCAAGCCCCCGTTCTTGCCTAGAACAGACAACACCGACATCCAGCACCCAACCTCATCGATGACCCAAACCGTCCATATGTACTGACATAAAAACACAACATCAATTCTCCATCCTCCCCAATTCCTCAAACAATCTCCAAACCACCAAATCCATCCCCATAATCCGCGGCCTTCAAAATGCATCCCTTCACACTCCTAACCCTCGCAACACCAGCCCTCTCAGCAACCATGACCTGCCGCTCCCTCACCCGGTGCCCCATAATCTTCGACGGCCGCGTCCCCTCCACCGCCGTCCCGACCGACTTCGACGCCCCAAACGGCGGCGGCTGGAACCCCTTCAACCCGTCCTACGTCAAGGGCAACACCCTCCTCTGGTCCGACATCGTCCTCCTCCCGTCGGTCCCCGCCTCCCGCTTCGACGCCGCCGCCGGCTCGCGCGCGGTGGAGGTGACCATCTCTGACGAGAGCATCTTCATGAGCCAGCGCGGGTTCCGCCGCGCGGGGCTGCAATTCGCCGCGGACGCGAACACGGGCAGCCCCGGCGGCGAGGGGGCAAAGACGCTGCACTTCAGCGTGCGGCAGGACACGGAGAGGCCTTTGAACCTGACGCATGAGTACCTGGTAACGCACCCAGCCGATGCTTGATGATGGTGCTTGGGAGTACAGTGTGCTAACGGGGACGTGGGGGAGACAGAACGTCTGGCACGAGACGGCGGCGTACGACGCCAACCAGTTCAACTTCCAGACCGGCACCATCATCGGGCAGCCGGGCTTGCCGGAAGACACCTTCAAGCTCCTCGACAGGGAGAACCGGCTGGTGTGGTTCACTCCGATGGCCACGGACGGTTCGTGGCAGAATTTCGCCCTGACGCTGGACTTTGATCAAAAGTGAGCTCCCACGATGCCCTACGTTTTGGGCTGGGAAAAGGAGACTGACGAGACCATAGCACGATCCAAGTCTGGTACTCCGCCAACGACGAGCCGCTGCAGAAATCAGGGGACATCATCTCAGCTGACCTCGCCGGTCAGGGCCAGTACCAGATCGGCATGCTCAAGAAGCCCACGGGGACCGACGACGTGGTGAACTCGGGGTACCAGGAGAGCGGCCTGGACGAGGGCCAGATCTACGGCGGCATCTTCATCGAAGACAGCGCAGACGGATGCGTGTCTGTATGAACTACCAACGCGACGGCCGCTACTCGTTCTCTTATCTACTCTTTTTAATCTACTGTCTATGTCTATATCTATAAATGGCACACCGCATCATTTTGCGTGTAATCGTCACTTGCCCACATCAACAGCCGTGAAACTCGCCTTCAACGGCGCAATACTAATCACCCCATTCACAGAAGCCCACAAATCCTCCCCCTCGGGGCTCTCCTCGGCCTGCTTCTTCACATCAGCCAGCTGCGGCGCCCAGCGGAACCGATACTCCCTCCCCAGCGCCGCCTTCTCGGGATCCGCAGCAGCCGGACTGAACAGCCCGCCGGTGACCCACTGCCCCCGGGCCGTCGTCGTCATCCGCACCGGCGCGTCCGCGACTCCCGGCACCATCGGTACGTTAACGCTGTACACCTCCACCCCCGGGTGCCAGTCCTTCGCCAGTTCGCCCACCAGCGCCGCGGCGCGCACGCACGCCGCGCGGATGGTCCCCTCGGGCTGCGGCTCCTTGCTCCCGAAGCTGAGCGCGACGGCGCGGCGCCCACACTGCGCGGCCTCCATCGCGCCGCCGACGGTGCCGCTGCCGAGCGCCCACACGGTGCTCGCGTTGCGGCCGTGGTTGGGCCCCGAGACGACGAGGTCGAAGTCCGCGGGCGCGAAGCCCGCGTGGAAGAGACCGAGCTGGGTGCAGCTTGCGGGCGGGCCGTCGACAACCAGCCAGCGGTGCAGGCGGTCGTCGGGCTTGTGCTCGCAGCCGACGGGGCAGGGGGTCGAAGAGAAGGAGGCAGGGCAGATGCTGGCGGCGGTGAGGGTCTTGCCGACGGCGTGCGCCTTGCCGATCCAGGAGAGTGGACGGTCTGGGATGACGACGACGGTCTGGTGGCCCGCCTCGTGCAGGGCGGCGAGGAAGGGCGCGAAGTAGGGCGAGACGGCGGACGGGGGCCCGTCGTCGTTGACGAGCTACGGGCAGTGCATCAGTCGGCGGTGGTCGAGGATGCCCGTTGCGGGTTTGGTAGTGTAAAGGGAATTACCAAGAGCCGCATTTTTCTGCTTGTCGCAGGTCGCCGATGTCCTAGCGGAAGGGTGAGATAGGTCCTTGCCGAAGGTCAGGCTGGGAGGAGGAAGAGACAGAGAATGCGTTTAGTAGTCTGGGGCTTCTGGAGTGAAGCAGGCGGAGGCGGAGCAACAAAGAGTGCAAAAGAAGGCGACCGAGGCCAAGATCAGGCTGCCGAGAAGAGGTTCCGTGGTCGGAAGGTGGACGGGGTGGTGTTGTTGGTCAGACAAAACTGCGGTTCAAATGTTGTCTCACTGATTGGGTAAGTAGGGCTTGAAAGCCAAACTCGGCTAGCGTTGTTGCCGTTTTAAGTGAGGCATGTTAGTGAGCTAGTCAGGCATAGCATCACTAAGATATCATGTATAAGTCCAAAGTAAAATGCCATATAGTCTTCAACAATGGCCTCTAGCCACTTAATGTGATTTTTACTTAGAACCTATACTATAACGACCTCTAACTTACCCCTTTAGCTAATAGCCTACTAGTTATATAATTTCCTATAGATTACCCTTTAGTCATATTTCCCCCTATATATATAGTTATATATACTATCTATTAGATAATCTTATTACTTTTAATATTATTTTAATAATAACTTTATAACTTTAACTTAGTTTAATTACTATAGACTTTCTTTAACTTTTTAACCTTTTTTCTAACTCTTATATATACCTTCTATTATTAAACTTAGCTATCTTCTTTATAGCTTATATTACGCCTTCTAAAGCTAATATTTATTATAATATTACTAGAAGCTATTATACTATTACTATAGTCTAAGCTTTCTATTAACTAGGCTAATATCCTTATAGTTCTATAGTTATTAGTAATATCTTCAATTTAAGCTCAATTAACTTATTAACTATACTACTTTACTAAGGATATTATTAAAGTAAACGTAATAACTAAGATTAGTAGTAAATATAGCTACCTCTTTTAGTAAGATTTACTAAAGTAGATAGGCGTAAACTATAGCTATAATATTAGCTTTTAAGATTATAAAGTAAGATATAGCTATAGTTAATCTATTTATAAGGCTTTATATATTAAAAGCTATTATTTTACTAATTATAGTAAAACTAGCCTTATAGTTAGTATTAATTCTAGTATCTTAGAGTATACTTTAAGTAAAGTCCTATGGTATAAAGCTTTATAAATTAAATAAGATAGAATATATTATAAAGAAATCTAAGTAGTTTATATAATAAGGAATAAGCTTATAGCTTAGTATAAGTAGTATCTTAAGTATATAGCTAAGATAAGCTTTTATATAGCTAACTTTATAAGGCTATCTCTATGCAGTAAGTTATATAAGTAAGGCTGTTAACCTTACTAATAATAAAGCTATTATTAATATGATACTAAGAGCTATAATAGTATATATGTCTAGCCTAGATACTTTTACTTAAATACAGGTAGTTATAGTTAGGTTTAGCGTAAGCAGTTATTCTAGGCTTCTAGGTATATACTGCGATCTTCTTACTAGATGAAGTATTAGCTGAAGTGCTCTTACTGGATTTATCTACTGTGGACCCTCTTATAGGGTGGGCTATGAAACTTCCTCAACATAGTCTTCAACAACTTCAATTTCCAATGGAGAGTTGCCAGCAGCTATGTTGCTGCTGCGGCCTTGATAGCCCTCTTCTCTCGTCTGTTCTTCTTGCACTTCCGTACACAGCACCACACACACGAGCTGACCATGAGAGCCCCGATGATGGGCATCCCAACCATCAAGAACCACAGCACACCCTGGCTCATGTACTGGACGCCGTTGTCCACCTTGTTCGCGTCGTCTCGGCCCTTGGGGATCTTCTCACCGGGCGTCCACGTGTGCACCCTCATGCCGCTGGTCAGCGTCGGCAGCTTGGGCGTCAACGTCGCCGTGTCAGATTTGGCCCAGGTCACGATCCAGGCATCGTGCACCAAGGTTCTTGGTCCCGATCTCGTGCCTACGGTTGTCCACTCTGATTTTGCACATAGGGGAGCCAACGTTGAGAGGCTTCTCAAGGTATGGGTCCCCAAGCGATCGAAGCCGCTGGACCGATGGATTTTGGTTAGCGTTTTAGCTCTTGTGATCTGAAGAAGAGGGACAATGACGAACCTCTGGCAGCAATGAGCCGTCGAGACCACTCGGGTTATAGGCTCGGCCATGTCGTTGTAAACCCATCCGTCGGGACACACGCCCGGTCTGAACCTGAGACGGTGCTCCGGCGCGAAGCCGTCCCACCCGGAAGGATAGCATGTCGCCGCGGGGTTGGAAATGGTGTACTCTTGTGTAACGGTGGTGCCCCCGTACATTTCATAGGACACGATTCTGGTCGTCCACTGGGACGCGCAGTCTGACGGCTCCACCCATGGCGTGGTGATTGTGAGTACTGAGATAGAAGCGGCTGTTGTTGTCGCGTTGCTGGTCGTTGCCGTGGTGGCGGTGAGAGACATCTTTTTTGGTTGGAGAAACCGACAGCGCGAGCAACAGACGTTGGGTCAAAGGTCACGAGGTGCTGGCTCTCTTATATTCACCAGTGATTGTGTCTTGGGGCTCATGCGCCAAGGCGGCAAAGCAAGCGAACGAGGGAAGCGCAATGGGGAAGGAGAGAAGTGGTTGGTTTCCAGAGCCAGTTCATCTATGTCCTCATATGACTTCCTGTTGAATTTCTGACAAATGTAAATCGTGCCATACGCTTGTTGTCGAGATATCCGACATGAGAGATGTCGACGGAGGTGTTAGTCAGGGTGTGTTGACCATGAAACGGGCAAATTCACACTTGCCGGCAAGAATTAGCCCCAAACTCACGACGATATCCCAGACCGAAGTTAAAGAATGGAGCCAGTGAAGAAAGCATGGTCATTAAGCAGGCCTTGGTGTTGAAAAACGGCTTCATTTAAGTAAGATGCCAATCACATCTGCAGCTTGGATCATGAAAGAGACACTCAAACTTCAGTTGCTTATGATCGTAACAAGCCCAAGTTCAAGTCAAATTGGCAACTTTTCCACTAATAAATTGCTCAACTAGAGCGTTCCTAAGACGTTTAAAACGAGAACGCGATATCGCCTGTAGCCCAAGGCTGCTTTTATGGTATTCCATCGTCCAATGGGACTTATTACAAGCCATGGTGGCACAAGGATTACCTGCGTGGTACGTCTCTGGACGGTGGGTCGTTCTTAGGTATCATCAGTCTTAGAGCGGCGACACAGAGGATGGCTCAATCAGTGAGACAGTTGTGCTTGGGCAAAGAGGTATGACGCGCGGGGTGGCCCGAAGAGGAACGAGAGGCTTGTTTCGATAGGGCAAGGTTGAATTTCCCTCAAAGTGTGTGCGAGCTTCCCCCAAGAGAGACAGAAAACGGCCTTGACTTTGTCCGCTGAAAGTGTGAATCATTCATCCATGACCGATTACGGCGCCGGGAAATCAGACGGGGCAACATTGGATGAACGGGACCCTCCATCATGATGGGAAACAAGATTCGGCCAGTAGACAGAGCCAGATAAATAATGCCTCAGCTCAGATGACTACCTGACCGGGCCTGACCCATACCTTGCTGCTGCATGCATAGAAGGACGATGGAAGTCCTGATCGAAGGATGATGACGGGGACTCAACGAGGCATCCCTGGCAGTGCGCCTCGTGGTTTGCCCAGCGCGCGCCCTGCGTTGGTGCGGCTTTAGCGCAGTGGAACGCTGATCGAGAAAAGTACCGCACGTTTTCCCCGTTGTGTCGACCGCCCACTAAAACCCGTCGCCCTGTGTCGGGTCCAGGAAGCCCTTCCCCGGGGGGCATCATATAGGCCGCATTAGTGCTCTTTCCATCGCTGGAACACACCGAGAGGTGCACGTCGATGCTGCCCAGCTGCTGGTTGGTCCTCGTCCTCGTCCCAGCAGCGCACTAAACCCGCTAGCGGAAAGGGACCGTACAGAGACAGGCGGACGGGACCACCTCCAGCTGCCATCAGTGACTTACACCTGTCCTGGGTACCCACCCACACCACCACTGACACCAATCCAAAGCCAGTCTCTCCTTCTGACCACTCACCTTGCACCGTCACCTCGAGACACATGTCACTGCGCATTTGCAACCCAATCAAGGCGATGGGCGTTGCCTTGCTGGGCTGGGCAAGACGAGGCTGCACAACGATAGAAGGCAGACACGGGACATAATAAGATGGGCGACGCTTCCTTCCCCCCCGCGCGCGGCCGTCTAGGTTCCCCCTCTTGCCACCACCCACCTCAAAAAGAAGGAAGAATTCTACAAACACAGCCCACCTTGTCGAGAAGTGGCTTCATCATCATCCGTACATCATCAGACACGAAGATACTCGAAAAGAAGAGGAAGCCAGCGCGTGGGCATGGCACACAGGACTAACCAGCGCGATGACGCCTCGGCATGGGCCGGGCAGCCTGGTGCCCGCGACGGCACCCAGCCGTTCAACCTCTACTACCACCCTGCGATCGTGGATGACTTCTATCTCCCCGACACCGATGTTCCAAGGAACCCTCAGTTGTCGATCCAGTACGTGCCTAACACACACACGGACATACCAAGGTAGAGAAGATGCTGACTACCTCTAGGGCTTTCAACGCCGACCTTCCCTCCCTTCCCGACCCGAAGAACCAAGGTCCTGATCTCGGTCAGTCTTCCACGTCGTCCGCTGACAGAACACCTGCTGACTTTCTCCTCACAGACGCACAGCTCTCAATTGAACTGCTCATCGGGGGCGGCTCGTCCTTTGAGAACAAGGACCTCGGCCATGGCGCCGCCGGCCCGTCATCGCACGGTCTCGCCCGCAGCATCAGTCAAGCCAGCTCACACGGGAAGGATGATATCGAGTCGGTGACGTTCAGCCAGAGCGACTTCGCCGAGAGCTTCGGTAACTTCAACCCCCTCAATAGTGCCACCACAAGCGTCTCCGAGTACATCGTGCCGTCGATAGAGAGCAGCCCCGGCCTTGTCCAGAGACCCTTCCTCAACGTCCAGACAAACAACGCCAGTCCGTCACTGAACACGCTGGGATTCTCGGCCAGCTCTTCGCCCGCCTCCGCTCATGGGTTTCCCACGAACACTTTCAACTTCCAGACCACGCCGACGAGCGCTCCTCGACAGAGTGTTAGCGCCCTCTCCGCCGGCCTGTCAAGCCACGCCCACCTTCCGAGTCCCGCCTCACCATTCTACGAGGACTGGAGCGCGCAATTCTCAGAAGATGGAAACGCGAGTCTCAGCCAGTCATGGGGCGCTACCCTTCCATCCGGAGACTTTCCATTGTTCACCGATGGACAGTCTCAGCCTTCGCTGGTCATCCACCCGCCGGAAGCCACAAACATGTTTGAACAATTCGAGGACTTCAACATTCCCGGGCCCTCCCCAACCTCGGGAATACATCCCATCGACCACACTTCCACCAACAGCTTTACCTTCCAGAACACTAGAACGCAAAACTTTCGAGATATGAGGCCGTCGGTACCATTCAACCCGACCGACGACCGCCTGGAGGTCCCGAGACAGAGACCTCGCCGTTCATCAGACTATACCCGGCCGGGCAATCCTCTGTCGTCACAAGCACGGCGAGTGCATAGACCAGTAGACCCTAGAACAAACCGTCCCCGCAGCCACACTGCATTGCCACCGCCGAACCGATCATCCATGATACAGTTGCCGCGCGCCAGCCAGGAGCAATTCATAGCCTCCTCGACAACCACAGCACCTGTACAAATTCGCTCCCGTTCCAAAAAGCCGGAAACCGCAGCTGCCCCCTTCCCAAGCACAAGCCCAAAGGGCCCCGCCCGTGGACGCCGCAACGGTCCCATGGAAGCAAAATCCCGCGAGCAGGCCAAAGATACCCGCAACAAGAAGACGGTCTGCATCCGCTGCAAGTACTCAAAGCAGGGTTGCAGACGGGTCGACAACTCCCCAGACAGCCCCTGCGTCCAGTGTGAAAAGCATGGCTGCTCTAGCAAGTGGCCGGGCCCCTGCGAGTTGGCCCATTTCGAGGACTTAGTCCTCTCGAGGTCCTGCAACTACGTCTCCCAGCGCGCCATCAACCACCTCTCGCTCGACGGGACACGACGCATCCGCATTCCTCTACAGCGCGTCTTTCCCCTCGACGACGTCATCGCCGCGCTGGACACCCCCTGCGACTTTGACATCCGCGTTCACCAGGACAACCGGCCCGTCTACACCCTCAACCTCCAGAAGTGCCACGAGTATCTCCTCACCCTGAAGGCTCAAATCGGCGGCGGCAGGACAGACCGGAGCCGGAGCGCCTTTATCGACAGGGACCTCGTCCAACTCGACGCGGACTGGGAGGCCTGCATGGACAATGTCGTGACCGACGACCCCCTCGCCCTCCTCTGCGCCATCCACAACATGCCTTCCCGCGCGCGCTACTCTTACGTCTACAAGGCCCACGTCCACCTTCCCGAACGCTTCCTGGACCCGGAATCCCCTTCCGACAGCGGCCCTCTCCACCTCGCCGCCCAGCTCGCCCGCGTCATCTGTCGCAAGGTTGAGGTCAAGGCCTATACTTACCTGCAGCGCGCGCTGTACAAGTCCACCGAGCCCAAGGTCAAGGAGGAGGAGCTACTCCCGCTGCTGCGTCGGGTGGGTTGCATTCTTGCCAGCCTGCGGTGGCGTCTTGCGTGGTGGACTGTGATGCCCGGGAACCCGCCCGAGGCGCGCGACGAGGATGGGGCGCGGGCGGAGTGTCAGAAACGGGTGTACAATCTCTGCCGCAGGCTTTACTTTCACTATTGTAGTGCAAGACGGAGGCTGGCCACGTGGTCGACGGTAGACTCGCTCAGGGGCGTGTGGTCGCTGTACCCAGACACGGACCGCAAGGTGTTGGATGCTTTCCCTGGGGATGAGACTGGCGAGGCGTTTGAGGAATGGTTGGCTAAGGGCCAGGGGTTGATTTATGAGGCTGGGGCGTCGCGGGTGCTAAGGCCCATGGGGTTGCCTACGTCAGTCTGCTTTTGAATTGTGGTTTTTTGTCTACTTGTTTTGTATAGGAATACCCCTTTTTTCATGGGACGGGCATGAAGCTCTAGGACAAGAGGAGGACAGTGGAAAACAGCACACTCATTGCCAAAGGCGAGCAGTTGTACGAGATACCATAGACGGCGTTTGGGTATACAGATACCAGGATCGGGCTATATGTAGACTTTTCCTGATTTCGCAATCAACATTAAGTTTTAATCAAAATTGGCACTGGTTTCAAGAAGCGGACGACCAATGAAAGGAGAAGAGCACCTCCTTCTGTGATGCTATTCCATTCCAGCACGATGTATGCTTTTCAGCTGATGTACTATACCGCCTGCGAAGCGCGAAGCATTGGAATATCTAGGGATAAGCACGAAGTGATGATGGAGAGAAGAGCGTAGTGTCATGGACATCGATGAGACGTCACACGGAAGCGTTGTTGTCAGGGCTTTGCTCTGCATCACGGCCTCAATCCCAGGTACCCGAAAATTCACACAAATACAAACGCCAGACACGATTCTTTTGGCTTGATCAATGACAAATGAAGCTCCGAACCCTTTCAAACCTCGCCAGATCGCCATTCGCTCTAGCATTTCATATTACATGGATAGCAATAGGCGAGGGGTCATTTCCATTAGAGGAATCTTCGGCAGCCAGGTTGAGGAATCTATAAAACAAAGCCTAGACGATCGATTTCAGAATCAGGCCAATGTGGTCTCGGACGTAGCGTCGATAGGTGATATGAAGCCAGTAAAACGCTTTTTTCATCTTTGATGAGGTTCTAGGTTCAGGCGCGACTGAACCTTGCGCTTCACAAGATCTTGTTCGGTCTTCAGGTATAATAGTGTTTTTCTCGTGAATAGTTGACAAGCAGTCGAGATGGTGGACGATTACAACATGGTTCAATGGTGTGATATGTTGACTGGTTGTCTGGGCATTCTCGGGTGAGTGTGTGAGTTGCTTTGAGAACTAAAGTTTTCAGTTACGCTCAATAAAACAAGAAGACAGCTGTCATTTCTTATGAGAGAGATCAGTTTAATAGAAACTACGCAGGATTTTAAACGGCCCTCCTCGTCCGAGGTCGAGCGGAGCGAGCTATGGGCATGTATATTTACGTATATATACGTGTGATCCATTGTTGCCGTTAGTTACCAAGGCGCGAATGTAATCGTTATATGAACCTTTCCTTTGCATATCAGGTCTATTCCAGTAATCTAAAGTGCCAGGTGAATTCCAAGGTTACCAGTCAACTCTTCTCAAATGACAGATTCGTAGGGTAGGGACATGTGTTCCCGAATACCTCCTTGGCAGATCACGCCGGGGATGGCCGACTATACCGAGATGTAATGCGTATATGTGTCCCTTGCACATTCCCATCGCTGTTTGGTTTCCCACGTTCGACGGGTGTGAATTGAACGCTTTCGCAAATCAAATTGTGAACCCTAAGTCAACATTTGGTCTTATATCGTCTCCGCCAACGTCTCAAGCGGAACTCTTTTGATGCTATGCCCAGAGCCCTGGTCTTCTTTTTTGAGCATAAGTAAGGCTCAGCATCGCTTTCAAACAACTGCAAGCACAAATAACTGCAAGGTATGCATCTGTAGTTACCTTTAGTATCAAAGACCGCAACGATCCCAGACGATCAGTAGACAGCACGAGATAGCATCTAACATAAGCGGTGTTCAACTGCAAGGGATTATGGAGTCTTGCGCATATCCTGTGAGAATAACTGACAGACAGCAAAGAGGAATAGCAGTATCAGCCTGGAGTTAAGTGTAGTAATAGTTGAGGCAATAATTACTGAACTGCTATATTGTTGAAATATGAGATCGCCTTTTTCAATCACAGTACAATGCACGTTCACTTACCGCTTTGGGTGCTGCTCTGAACTCTGGTCATGCGTTAGGTCTTCTATAATCTAACAGCACTGCAGCCTTCAACGTTTAATGCATAATGAGAAGTACGTAAATCTCCTCAAATATGGAGGTCATGTGGCTCTTGCCTCACAGGCAAGATACGAGCGAAAGAACACCGAGGAGTGTGAGTTCTTAGGGTAAATCATGGGAAAATCGGAATCGTGCAGAGCCTATGAACTTATTTCAAGTTACTGGGTTCATAGAAGCCTTGCTGGGGACGAATACCAGAGAGACGAAACCAAGTCCTGATGAACAGTGGCGACAACAGCAGTCTTCATAGCCGCTTTGAAATGTTTTTTGCGAGCCATGTCCTGAGACAATAAAGCGGATTGCTCTCGAATTGACGTCTAGCTGGTGCGGAACGATAAAGTATATAACTTATCAGAGGGCTTCTAAATCTAGACGGGAGGCAATGGAGACTTCTGATAGATGCGGATTCAAGCAGCTTCTCTAAGGTTTAAGAATCTCTATCATCTCTGGCCAACATGAGTGATGTTCCTCAAGTGATACCACATAATCCAGAACTGTGTATGCCCGTCGACGCAGCGGATACGTCCTCGACAGCAGAGACACAGCACACCTGGGAGTTCACGTGGATCTCAGGCTCCTACATCAAAAAAGAAGTCCTTAATAGACTCTATCCCTTCTTGGCATATAGCTATCTTTTCGCTGTTGGAAATACATCAATACAACATCCCACATTTGTGGGTTTCCAGTCAGTACTATCGATGAGTTCTAAATTTTTACTAGACAATTAGTCATAGCTGTCGTGCCTCGTTTGAGTTGCTGTCGTGGATTGTTCACAAGGCATTCGTAGCTGGACTAGCTACAAAACATGTACTTCATCGCTGCATCTATGATTTTGTTTTAGAATGATAGAAATGTGATTAGGACTCATGCTTGTCGTTCCCTTCCTTGCCCCTCTACCCCGTCCCTAATCATCGCTCACAAGCTGCATAAGTTTGCTTCACTTTCATCATCGTCGAAAGCCAATTGAGAAAAAATAAAAAATGCACCCGCAGGGCTCGAATAGAGTCCTACAGAGCCAACGTACATTTCCGGCGCTGTATAGCGATTTCTGATAGAGTCATGCAATCAGTCGATTCGGTGAGCTGAAGCACCACGCAGCGTTGAAAAGCAGACAGCTTTAACTGTTGATGACTGAGTTTTCATGCCTGAAGTATTCTGTTTCAATATCATCGTCAATACTCTCACGATGCTGCGGAGGGTGAGAGACGATGCAACCGCCTATGCCTGTGTGAATGATTATCGTTGTCCTCGTCTACGAGTTTGTTAACAACAGAGCCTCTGATTTAAATGCAGAGGCCATCACGACGAAAGTCAAATCGGTAGCTTGCTCAAGAATTGGCTCGAACAACACTCCAGAGAAGAAAAAGGATTTGAATATTTTTATATCCCATGCTCAGTACTCACGACTCAGTACTCGTGGACGCGTATCTTTCGCCGTCATCTCCCAGTGGTGGTGCCATCACAGCCGGCCAAGGTGGTGAAGACTCACGAGACCTTGCTTTTTCCTTAAAAGATCGACCTGATGGCGAAAGATTTCAGATTCACAGCAACACAATTTGGATACGTCGAAGAAAGTTTCGGCACTGCAACCACTCCCGCTACAAATCATGACTTCGACGATGGACCCATGCCTTCAGTTGAAAATACAGTTTAACAGAATGTAGCCAGGCGAGCTTGATATCGCCTTTGCGGCCAAATAACCCAGAGTTCTCACAAGACAGAAGTGAAAGAGGATACCTGGTCAGATCTGAGGAAGATGTTCATCGTTCCATGGCTCCTTATCAAGTAATGTCGGGCGGGGGGGTCGTCGACGCCCAAAGTAAAAATGCTTGAAGGTTTCCCCATCAGTTCCAACATTATGTTGCGCCAAGCCAAACGGATTAGAACGCTCGATTGTCTTTTATAAAGCGCGGTAACATGTCATTTTACTTCTCGGGATTAGAGGAGCAAGCTCTTATTTATAAAACCTTGGAAACTTTAACTCCTTTAGAAATCCGAAGCTGTCAACTGAGTATTGTTCTACTCCCACTTACGATAAATATACCCTTAACGACAGTGGAGAGATAATGAAGAATCCGAACTAAGTTCTGCTAGAATAGACGGGACCTACTAAAGATAGCTCGTTCTTACGCACTTTCAAAGTCTAAGAGTTCTTTCTAAGAGATACTACTTCCTATTTTCCATAGGTAGTTAACATTCTCAAGCCTGCCTTTAGATAGCTGCTCAAACCACCTAATGTAATCGTCTGGACCAGCAATAGCGGTGCAAGATCATACTTCAAGTGAGTGCTGGACTATTCCTGGTCCAGATGACTGATATAGTCGGATATTGTGCTGCAGTTGAAGGGAAATGATCCATGTTGCGTCGCCGGGCTAACCTTCTGTTGAAGTCCCGTATGTTCTATACATACCGAGGCATCACGCTGAATACTACTCGCAGACATACCTCGGAAACAACGAAAGTGATGGTTCATCCATAGCAAGAACGTTATTCGAAAGATGGATTGAGCCGAGTATGCTCGCCAAGGGCGTCTTGTGCGACGAGGAGTCCAGAGAACCACTGAGAAAGACGCTATCGATCGACTCAAAAAGCCAGAGATTACATTGGCTTGGAGGGTGTTCTAGAGAAGAAGTAACATTGATGTACTTAAATCCTTCGTCCCGGCTCTTGATGATCGCTGACAGCTGTTTGAATACGCCCCATATTTGATGGATTTGAATAGACTGCGCGTGGAAAGTCTCGACGCAAATGAAAATCTCAAGGGAACGTGGTAAATGTTGAAGGGACACTCAAGTAGGCATAAGATCCAAGCATATCTATACTTCACCCGCCTCAGCATATCTCTACCATTTACATCTAGAAACACATAACTCCTCTCCCGAACCAATTGTCACTCCATTCGCCATCAATTATAAAGCCAGCAACGTCACCACAGAAAAGGCTGCCCAGGTCGCACGGCATCACTCGGAGGGTAAATGAGCGCACCTCTCACAGCATCCTTCCCGTCCTGCACACTAGGCTGACCCAGCGTACCGAGATCCTTATATCTGATCCTAAAGAACTCGCCGTGGAAGTCCTCTCTGCACGCCGGACACTCGGGCATCTTGTCTTCCTTACCCTTTTCCGTTGTATTGACCTCGCGTATCCATAGCACGTGTGCCATGGTGCATCTGAAGCACAACAGATGCAGATTCGACTGGGGACAGATCGCGACTGCCCGTAGCAGCTCGTTAGTGTCATCGTACGGGTCTTTGCAAATCCCGCAGATGGGCGGGTCCTCCTTCTCCTTGGCCGCCGCGTCCTCAAACTCTATCAAGTTCGTAGATTCATCGCTTGTGGACTGGTCCGCCTGCGGCTGTTGAGGCGCGGGGTGGTGGTTCCCCGTCAGCCGGGCCGTAGCCGTGGCCACTGAAATAACCCTCTTCCGAGTCGCGGCCAGAGCATCCGGCACCTTGCGTATCGCGTTCGCGTAGTACGTATCCCTGTCATGGAACGCCCTCCGAACCTCGAGGCTAAACCTGCGACCCTCGACAGCAATTTCCCCATCCGGGAATTTGCTGTGGAACACCTGCCATCTATCCAGATCGCTTGCCGGAAACATCTGCGTCACCACGCTGAACATCCTCTTAATGTCGTTGTACACCGCAACCTCGGCGGCCTTCTGCTGGTCTGTCTTGTCGGGGCGCATGCCATGGACATACGAGTGGATGGGGTCGAAGATCGACCCGACGTACAGGAACCACGTCACCGCAATGCCGATTAACTCCTCAGCGACCTCGTCCTTCAGCCCGTTGTCGAGCGCGATCCACAAGATCGCCGGCGCGGCTACGAGCACGCGCATGCGCAGCTGGCGCTCGAACTCGCTCCATTCCGCGTCCGTCTCGATCCACAACTGCTCCTGGCGCACCTGTTTGATCTTGTCCTTCACCTCGTTATTGAGCGCCATTATAGCGTTGAGGTAACGCGGCTTCTCTGACGGGTACATGTCGTAGACGGCCATCTCCTCGACGTCGGCACGGGCGCCTCGGCGGTCGAGGAAGAACCTCCGGGCGGCGGTTCTCTCTTCCTGGAGATGCCGGCTGTCCGTGCTCTTGTAGTTAGCCTCCAGGAGGTTAACCATGCGGGAATGGTGTTCCAGGATGCGCTGAGCCTCGGACATCCGCAGCGCGCGGCCGACGTTGGCGCACATGGGAATCCTTTCGTTGGTACACTTGCATATAGCCATGCGAGCCGCCGCGCCACCATTAGGGTCGTCCATCCAGTGCTTATCGTCGCGACGGCAGAACCTCTCGGCACGGATCTCCATCCTGACCTGCTTTAGATCATCCTCGCGCATGTTCGCTTCTGGGATCTTGCGCGCGACGGAGTGTTTGAGCAGGATAACGACTTGCTGAAAGTACTGAAATAGGTCTGGGTGTACGTCGGTGTAGGGGGCTCCTCTGAGCACGGGTCCGCCGGATCCGTCCTCCTCTCCGTCATTCTGTTTGTCCTTCTTGTTGGCTGTCTTTAAACCAAAGGCGGAGGCCTTGTTTTCCATCATTTTTGTCTCCTGCTCAGGGTTTCTCTCGGTCACATCTCTGCTGAGCTGCTGCTCCTGGCGAAGCCAGGCCTTTCGAGGCAGAGCACTGGAAACGGACAGACAGTCCGCACACATGCCCTGTACAATTTCGACGACCTTGCCCGTGGGTTGTCTGCAGTTGCCGATGAACGGGTGGGCACAGTAGACCCGAACCTGCTGCATATGGTGTTCCTCTCCAGCCCTCAACCTAACACATGCGTCAAGATCGCCAATTCTGCGGTATAGCTTCACCTTCTTGTTGGGGAGATCGAGAATGTTGTTATCCGGGTGCTCTTGTTTGGCCTCTCTTGATTCTTCAGTCTCGGGGCATTGGTAGAAGATGTGTTTCAGGATACACATGCTTGCGGTAACCGTCGAGGGGCAAGCCTCAGAGTGGTGATAAACGGGTCGAGGGAACAAGTATTCGATGAGACTATGTTGAGGAAGTTTCGAGCCCACCTAGTAGGGGTTTTCACAATAGGGGAAAAGGCAGTAAAAGCACCTCGGTCAGTGCCCAGTCTAGTAGCTTCGCAGTATACGTACCTAATTCGATGATACTATAGAGAAGAGAAGGGTGAAGAGATTGGAAAGACGGCGTCAAGTGTTCGGGATGGAAGATTCCTTCGTAAAAGGAGAGTGATGTAGGAATGATTTTGAACCGCTGGAAACTCACATCATGATGAACTTGATCTATGGTAAAAGAAGACAATGCTTGACCTCGTCGGCAATGATGCTATTGTCGAAGCTCAGGGAGGGAACAATAGGAGAATACTGAGATTCGTTGCGTCAAAGAGCAGCCAACCATTCCAAGTCCGCCGCCGGGAAATGCGATGAGAGATGAAAGAAGTGCCCGATGGTTGACAAAGATGTCCCGAAAACGACAAACGCATTCATCGAAGGGGTACAACTCTGCTCTGGGCAGGCGACAACCGCGACATTGGCCGTCAAGACCCAACCTCTCACGACTAGACACGCGCTTCCATTGAGGGAGTGAGAGAGAAAGAGTAACTACGACATCGACTGTCGAGACCCAACTCCTCACTTCTAAGCCAAATCACGACCCAAGAAGTGAGATCCAAGGAACTTTGAACGAGGTCGGAAGATATCACGACTGCCTCTTTGCAACATTGGCCCACATCGAAAAGATCCTCCTTCGATAGAACGTGATCTCAAGCTCCAAGACCCAGTGAATCGGAAGAATTCCATCAACCACTGATAACTATTCATGAAGACAGCGCCCAGAAGGAACGCTTCGCCTGCGAACCACCGAAATGATCGGCCGTCTGGAATCTTGAGTTGACCCCTAGCAGGACTCTCTCCCGTCACGCTGTTCTCGGATCCCTCCGTGGCCTTGAGCGGTTGAATGAGCAAAGTCGGTTCGTCGGAAGAGGCAGATGGGAACGACGGTGAGGTCCGCGGCTCAATGAATTGCCAACTCGATCAATCAATCGCCCGACGCCATTGTCCAAAGACGTTCCTCACCCAGCGGGCCAACCGACACATTCATCCCTTGAGAAATTCGCAACAGAACCTCGTCCCCCGGGCTCATATCGTGTCCAAAGTTTCTTTGAAAGAGTGGATGAGTCCGCCAGGTTCCCTCTCAGCTCCTACAAGGGCTGGAGCAAAAGACGGCCTCGAGCCTAAAGAATCGAATACGCAAGCGACACCGCGACAAAAAGCGTTATATCCCTTGAGTATCTCAATATAGCTCTCGTCTTAAGTCATTATTGCTCAATGTTACTTCAAAGACTACAACTCGTCAGCAAAGCTCATTGAAAACCAAGCATCATGAAACCAAACACCAACCCCTAAACTCATCCCATCAAAGAAAACCCCCATCCCTTACCACCTGGTCCATCCGCACCAACCTCATCCATCAACCCCCATCAATCAACAAAACACATCCCCATCATCATCATCAATAGCCCGCAACACAAACCATCCCCATCCCCATCCCCAGTCCCTCCACGCAAGCGGGGGGCACCGATGAGGCACATCGCACCGCGAGAGGGAGGTGTGGCCCCCTCCCCCACCATCCCTGCGCGCCCAATCACGAACCTACATGGAACCCGCTCCCAAGACCTGCACGAAGATGGAGCCCACGCGCAGATTTTAGGAGGCTGAGCTGAAAAAAGGCCACCACCACACTCTCACACTCACGCCCGCGTCGCCCGAGAGAAAGATCAGACCACCCTGTTCTCTTCCTCAAAATGACGAACTCTAACCAATCCTTCCGACCACCATAGACGAAATCGAGGGAATTAATCGCGAGTGGAAGGAATCGATTTAGATGGATGGATAGATACCTTACCTTACATTACCACCGCCGACAAACGATGGAAATTGTTATTGGGATTGGCCTTTTTTGGGCTTCGCAGGGATGAACTCGCGGTTTCTCTCGGCCCCTTCGACCCTCGGGCCGAATGCGAGGAATGACAGGAAAAAAAAGGCCGGCAATGGCCAAATGGGTAAGACACAAAAAAAAAGTCTAATAGTGGTGAAGTTCGATAGGGGTGTTCGCGGAGTCCTCGGTCGGGCTCGGTGGAGCCCCGGTGAAGGCCCCCCTCCAAAGTCTACCACGTCGCCCCCCCTCCCCCTTCTCAGGTTCATCAGGTGGCAGAAGTATCGCACGCAAGAACCCCTCGAGTTCGCAGCCATAAAAATCAAAACCTACACAAAAGAAGCAAAACCATCACAACAAGAAAAAAGCGAATCGTGTCATCATTCCTAGTGTAAGTTTGGGACCTAGGCCGTCGCGGAAGAAGAAAGAAGAACAGCTCCCGACAGAGGGGGAGACAGATAATAAATACCATAATAAGAACAAGAGGACGCAGACGCTACGGTATCACGATGCCAATTCGTCAAACAACGAGCGTCCATGTGTGATGATGAAGAAGAAGAAGAGACAGAACGTTTCCTCCACCCTCTCGTTGAACTCGTCCCGCCAAAATACCATTTCCCATGATTCCCGTTGCATATAAAATTCCCGGCCTGCCCATCGCGAAAGGGTTAAGGAACAAAAGCAGACCGTTGACCTAATAATGGGGGGGGGGGGGGGGGGGGCGAAAACAAAAGAATTCCACGACGCCCTCTCCGTCATTCCCGCAGGAGATAACTTTTATGCGATAAAACTCCATTTTTGATATCCCACGCTCCCCACCCCGACCGACCGATGCGACCTCGGCACGCGTTAGGTCGCATACCCGCGTTCTTCGTTGTCGACGCCCTTCACGTGCCCGATGCCATCATCTTCTCCCGCAGCTCGCGACGCTTGTCTTCCAGCTTGAAGCCGTCCTGGGGGCACTCCCATCCGTTGGGGTCGACCTTTATCCTGGCAAGGCATTTCGTGCACCGCCACCAGGCCGCATTCACCTTGCGCACTTGCAGCCAGTCGTCCGTGATCTCGCCATTCTTCTTGTTCACGTCCTCCTTGTGAACATCCGTGAGATGAATTCGTAATCGGTCCTTGCGACTGAATGGTTCGTCTTTGCGGTTGCACGCATTGTAGTCGCAGTAGTAGGCCTCGTCTGACTTCTTTCCTGATGCGCCGGCGACGCTGTTATTGCGGTTCCCTCCGCCCTTTCCGCCGGCTGTGGCCTTGGTGATAACCTTGGGGCTCGGTTTGGGCGTGCTCAGAGCAGGCGTGATTTCCTTAACGGACAAGGCGGGTGAAGGCTGAGTTTGGCTGTCGGCGTGGGCCTGTTTGTAGTGCTTGTCGAGATCGAGATTCCGCTTGAAAGGCTTTGCGGTACATTTTTCGTATAGGCAGGTGAAGGCGAAATCCTGCGGTTTCTGAATGGGCGACATTCCCGTGTGCACTCGAGGTATTACTTGGACGAGGCCTTCCGCAACGTAGTCTGGCTGCAGCTTCCAAAAGCCGCCATTTTCGTCGGGCATATAATCATATTTGGAGCAGTCAAAATTCTCGATGGATGGTTGAGAAGCTTCGGCCCTAAGGGTACGTGTGTCAGTAGAGATTGGCGCAATCGGGGTCGCAAATGGTGGCGTTTCGACAAAAACTTGTCTTCATTTGTTCAAACAGGTAGATGATGAGCTGGCTCGATAAACTCACCATTGTTGCGGCGGGTCGATGGTGGGCGGGTTGCTTTTGCTGATGGCAGCGTGCGTTCGTTTCGCGGCGGTTGGAGGGGCCATGATCGGTGTACTTGCTTCTTTGGTGTTTTAATCAGCGGTTTGTCTCTCTTCCCCAGAGCGCGAATCTGTCCTTTCCCATCCGTCCCGTATCGCCCATCTCCGTATCGCAAATATCCCCCAAGGGCATATCCGCCTGGCATTTTGGGAGAAAGAAAATTGCAAAGAATGGGGAATCCAAAGTATCAATCGCATCTTCGGCCAGAACGAGGAAGACGTGTACCAACCTTGAGCCTTGTTTGCTGGCATGGCGATGCGGGCGCAATGACAGACGGGCGAGTATGAACACCGAAGTCGAATTGAGCTGGATGATATCGATTCTCTCCTGTCAAGCCAGACCAGGGTCGACTACCTGCAGGTCATGAGAACGGCGTCGAAATCAAGGGCGCAGATGAACGTTTGCGATGTGCAGGAAGGAGGAAAGAAGTGGGAGAAAGGTTCATTTCACAGCAGCCGCCGACGGAAAGCAAAGGAAAGGAATGGGATAGGACAAAAAGGTAAGTTTGCGAGAGAAAAACGGAAGGCCCTTTTGGCTCTCGGTTGTTTGTCGTTTCTCTGGAACCAGGAGAGATAATTATTGCTTTTCTGCCACCCAGGGCAGCAGCAAACCAACTGAGCCGACCGACCAGTCAGCGTGAGTGTGTCCGTACCAACAAGCTTGACGGGAAAAGTAGTATGTAGCAACCGCAACGGCGGCAGCGGCAGCGGGAGCAACACCAACGGACAGGGCAGAGCAGAGCAGAGCAGAGCAATCGGGTCAGACCCAGCCAGGTTCACCGTTCAGTTCAGGCTCAGGTGCGGCGGCGCCCGTACGAACGACACATGCAGTGCTGTACTCTCGCTTGTTGGTGACTTGCGACCGATTCAATGCCTGCTGGTGCTTGATGCTGGGCTTGGTGCTTGGGACGATGGAGTGAGGCATGCAGTGAAAAGGGTACCTTTTGCATGGAAGAGAGGGAAGGCGAGGTATCTCAGTCCCTTAAAGTAACCGACCTTACCTTAGCTTACTTGACATGGCAGGGACCTCGCGGAAGTAAGGGTAAGGGTATCTGCAAGATGTAGCAACACCATCAGCAACAGCAGAAGCTACTATGTACGAAGCTATGCGGTCGCTTTGCAGGCGTTGGTAAGGAACCTGGAAGGTGAAAGTACAGAGTATTCAACCACCACCATCACAATAGGGCATGGTACGTACACGCCCGTTCGTAGCAACACATCTGGTGAGCGTGGGGTTCCATGGTGTTTGTCCAATCCCGGGGAAGGACGGCAGGCCCAGTTCGGCGTTGAGCAGGAGGGGAGTGCGGCGTGCGGCGTCCTGCTCGACCCGGGGGGGTAGGTGGTCAGGGGAGGGGTGTCAGGATGTCTGGGTGTGGCCCCCCAAGTGGCTTGGCAAGAGTGAGGGATGAGATGTGATTGAGAGTATTTACTATGCAGTAGGTAGGAAGCAAAAAGTGGTAGCAGCAGCAGTAGCAGCAGTAGGCTGTAGCAGAATCAGCAAGCAAACCGGAGAAGCTGTGTTTGCCAGGTAAGGTAGTTGTTATGCGAGCGAGGGTTGACCAATATGCGTGCGGCACCAACGGATACACTGCTGTCCGTACATAGGTATCCGTACTAAGTCACTGTCCCGTACGCCACGCCGTTGTTTGGTCGGCATGTCTGGGCATGGGGAGACGATAGACCATAAACCATGTCTCGGCTGTATGATGTGCTGTACGTGCTGAGATGAGAATAGAAAAGTTGCCCCGTTGCTGACTATCCGAATTTTGGACCGGAGGGGAGGTTGATGGAGGGAGGGGGGAGACGGCAAGGATTTTGGGGAACGGCGTGTCCATCCCGAAGAGAGAGTGTGTGTGCGGCGCGGCGGACGGATTGTGAGGAATACTGTGCAAGTGTGCAGAGCAGAATAGACGACCACTGGGTCTGTTTGAAGGACCTGAGACGAGGCGAACGGCTTCGGCTTCTGGGTTGATTGTTGAGCAGCGTCGGGGGGATGAGGAGGAGCAGATGGTGATGGACAGGTGCGGGAGATGACGTTGGTTGCAATTTTGCACGGATACGGGAGGGAAGTTTCATGGATGGATTGTTCGGTTGGCGCGAGAGCAAGGGCAGGGAAGGCCAAAGGCAGGGAATTCGTACGAGATGCAATGTCAGCCTTCCATTGAGAGGAAGAAACCATGCAAGTGTCTGGAAGATGGCAGGGACCGGTGCGGAAGCAAAGTAAGGCAAGGCAAAGTAAGCTTGGGGCCCAAGAAGAGGTAAATCGTAAAGCAGCGGCATTGCATCTCTCTGTGCAGGTGCAGTATCAGCGGGCACCGAACCATTGAACCGCTAATCAGCCAGCTCATATGCGTGATCGAAGAAGGGAAGAAGGGTCGAGGGAGAAAGAGCTGCGAACTGGTGGTCGGTCGCGGTCATGTGCGTGGGTCGTCCGAATCCTGAGATCCTGAGTCAAGGAAGCTCACCCACGGGCGCCCTGACCAAGTGGGCCGTCATCGCAGCCGCGAGATGATCATTGATCAGGGCCCCAACAGCTTTGTGGAGTGGGTGGGGTCGTGGATATCGTTGGTCGTTGGTTCACTTTCGTTCCGAACTTTTGTGGTGTTGGTGTGTGGTGTGGACGCCGTTGGTGTGTGTGTTCGTTCGGTTGGACATGGGATGAGATGCAATGTCCATCCGTGGATACATATTCATGTTGTACGGGTATGTGGTGATGGGATGGCCAGACTCAGACTCAGACTCAGGCCCTGGCAGATTCGAAAAAGCCAAAGACGCGGCAGGACGAAACAGCATCTGACGGAGGCAAGAGAGACACAAGACAGCAGATGCAAGAAGCTTAGGTGCGGTAAGGTAGGAGGCACGCACGCACGGCAGGTAAGGTCAGGCAAGCGTGGTAAGGTGCCTAGGTAGGGGAAGAAGCAAGCAGGAAGGAGGCGCCGAGCAATGTGCTGTGATTGGCGAGGCAAACCGGGCAAGACTTGCATTCTGGGGGAGCATTGCATCGCGACTTTATTTCTTCTCCTGCCCGTCGTTGTGTCTGGCCCAGGTGAGGTGAGGTGCGGTGCAGTGCGGTGCAGTGCTACGTTCCCGCCCAAAAATGTCCGACGGGAAGGAGACCGAAGAAGGTGTTGTCCATGTGCAACGCAACGCCTTCCAAGTTTCTCAGGTAAGGTATGTAAGGTAGTTCCTGCTTGGTTTTGCTGGCTGGTTGTGCCTGCCAGACATGCAACGGGAAGCGACGAAGGGCAGGAGGAAGGCACGCGAGCTGGATCGTACCTGCCCAACTCGTGCGCATATCAAGGTCTCTCGTTCTGTAGATTCGTAGAGAAGGTACGTCTTGGCACGGAACTGCCCATACAAGCCGTGTACCATTCCGTCCCCTGCCCCCCAACTCGTACGGATACCAATATCTATCTATCAATATCAATTTCCATCGCGGATACCATTCCAACTCAGAGTCGCATCTTGTTGGTTGGAACAGGCGACATGCGACATGCGACTTGCGCCCGCCGTCTGTTGGTTCAACACGACTCGCGATTCCAGAACAAGAAGGCACCCGCACAAATTGATAAGCGAACCGCATGTGAGATGTCTCCTACTGAGGTAGGTTCTGACAGGAAGGAATACTTAATTGCGCTGCAGATAAGTACGCATTGACATCCAATACCAACAGCATTGGGCTGAAAAAGCACTCGCGCTATCGCACCCGTCATCCCTTCTTTTCCTCCCCATTCCCAGTACAGATTCCACCGCTCCCATTGGCGTCATGTCACGATCCGGATGCTATGTAGTAATAGGCAAGGCTTTGCTTTTGGTATGCCAGTAGCGTCACTCGGGCGCTGTCCCTGGGGACAACTGCAACACCTCACTTGAGCTTCACAAGCGTCGTGCGTGGTGTCGCTTGGGCTTCTCCCATTAGGTACAGCTGAGCCGTCATTGGCCCGCTCCGTTTGCTTCCAATTCGCCTCCCGCCCTCCATCACAGACCACAGCTGCTGCCGTCCGACCTCTCCGACCGCCCACCGCCCACCGCCTCCAGACCCCAGATCCCCGGCGCCATCACCACGAAGCTTCGGTGCTTCGGGGGACCCATCCGGCTTCTTCTAGAGATCCATAAGTCGCATCGCATATGCGGTGTAGAAACGTTCGGCAGCCTCTCGTTGACTTGGCCGCCTCTCACTTGCCAGCACCTGCATGAGCGACCCAGCTAGGCTGACGTCCTTGTCTTGTCCGGTCCATTCCATTGCCGTTCCGACTCATGCTTATCCTGAAAGTGCGGCACTCTCAACGGCAACGGCGACGGCAGGGACACCACCGATGGGAGAGAAACAGGAATTGTGCTGCGTGGGCAGTGAGACGTTGGGCAGTGATGGTGATGTAAGGTGGTGGTGGTGGCTGCGCCGGCCAAGGTCGTAGACAGCCAGAAAGTCAGATAGATAGCTGCTACCTGCGACAACCTACCACACGCTCAGTACCGTCACTCACCACCAGTCACCACACCTATTCCGAAGGTGCCTGACGTACAGAAAAGTCTGCATTCGTGCAAGAGCGAGGAGGGGCGGTCAGAGCTCGTCCTCTCCCCTCCGCTTCCTTCGTTATTAACCTACCACATATCCCCTCCCTTAGCTCGTGTCCTCGTCGTCTGTACCTCATCTTTCCTCCTTCTTCGTTTGCTGCGAGTTGGACGGGGATGTCGAGATGCCTCTTTTGACGCGGTGACTGCAGGAGGAACACGGACCGTCACGACACGGGCAACGAATAGGCGACCCGACACCTTGCTCTCACCAGCACCCCGAGGGAGGTGAGAGAAGGAGAAGTGCCTTTTTACAAGATACCAATCTGCGGTGCCTTTATCGCTGCCCGCACCTTCACGAAAGCTCCCTTTCATTCTCGGCTCATCCTGCTCCCACCGTCCGAACAGGCGCACTCTCCACCCCCATTCCACCAACCATTCCGACTTTTGTCTTTCTCTCGGTCTCGGCCTGTCGACCGTTCAGCCCGGCGAATCTTGCCCTCCCGTCGCCGCATACCGGACGATACCTTGCCTTACTGGAGCGACAGGGGGCCCCTTTCTCCAACGCCGCGCCGTTTTAGCGCGAATCAATCAGCACCCCTGAGGTGTTGACGAGATTACGGATCCAGCAAAGCATCCGGGAATTAAAAAAAGAAAACGCGGAAAAAAGTTCGGTCACTGCTTTCCGGAGCATCCAACGCAACGCACACGACCAACATCACGACGACACTGTCATCGGCTTCATCGACCTAACCAGTCACCGCCTCCACAAGGTAAGCTATCCCGTCCCGTATTGTCGCTGCCTGCACAAGGTGCATCTCCAGTCTGCGGCCCAAGCCCTGGGTCACGTACTGCTCTGTCGTCCGCGTCCAACAAAAAAAAAAAAAGCTAATTCCCTGGCGGAATGGAGCTGAAAAGACACATGGCCTAAACCCATCCAATTGTTTCAAAGCCTCCATTTCTTCCACTTTGACCGACCCTGCACAACCCGCTAACCTGCACCCTTTCAAATAGACCACTGTCTTTTCTTGCGAACTCCTTTGCGACCGTCACTTCGACACTTCTCTTTCGACTTCCTATCCATCTCCACGCGTACCCCTAACCGGCCACCACCGACACAATGGCTCGCATCCAGATTCCCATCGACGCCCTGACGTCCCGCCTGAACATCCAGGACCGCTTCAACAGCATGCGCTCCGGCGGCTTGACCGCCAGGTTCGCCAACCTGCGTCCCGTCGGCGAGTTCTTCGACATGAAGCGCCTCTCCAAGCCTGGCAACTTTGGCGAGGTCCAGTCGCGATGGAACTACAACCTCTCCTACTTCTCCAGCAACTACAGCGTCGTCTTCCTCATGCTCAGCATCTACGCGCTGCTCACCAACTGGCTGTTGCTGTTCGACATCATCTTCGTCGTTGCAGGCATGTTTCTCATCGGCAAGCTTGACGGCCGTGATCTCGAGATCGGTACCTTCCGCGCCTCCACCTCCCAGCTGTGGACCGGTCTCCTCGTCATCGCCATTCCCGTGGGCCTGTTCGCGTCGCCCTTCTCGACGCTGCTCTGGCTCATCGGTGCTTCTGGCGTGGTCATTCTCGGCCACGCTGCTTTTATGGACAAGCCCATCGATGAGGCTTTTTCCGGGGAGGCGGTCTAGACGGTCGGCCGCGAGCTCCCAAATTTGCGCCCCAACGGGGAAGACCATCGAGGCGCGGGCGGAGGAATCAGGGAGCAGCGCAACGGGGGCATTGGGATAGTGGAGAGAGAGTCGAGGAGCTAGACACGGACGAGAACGATTCGGATATACAAGGCGTTGGTTTGGTTTCGAGGGGCAAGCGGATCGCCAGCGACTCGCTTCGGTTTACGGGTACAGACTTGGGTGACAGGACGGGCACATCGCGGAGGGGCTACGAATATCAGTCAGAGGACGAAGACGACAGCAGCGAGGACGACGACTCTTCTGAAGACGAGTTCGAGATCGATTGGGATCAGTTTTCGCCGATGGAGCGGGAGGAGGCGTTGGTACAAACAGCACTGGCTCGCATCCGCCGTGCCCAGGAAAAGGGCAGAGCAGATGTCAAGCTCAACAAGGACGAGATGGCTGCGCTGGAGCGACACAAGAAACGCATGGCAAAGGAAGCGCGCAAGCAAGAGCGCAAACGGCGCAAGGAGAAGGAGCAACGCTACTCCATCCCGCTGTCACAATTGCAGGCACCGATTAGAAGACGGTCTCCGACTGCGGACGATGACTTGCCGCTCCACCCGTCTCCTGGCACCTTCGACGCGGTTCAAAACCGAGGCGCAATGCCTCCCGTGGGCTACTTTCCTCCCCCGAACGCTTCTCGCACACGCCACCGTTCATCAACTTCTTCCTCCCAGCGTCCTCCGTCGGGCGGCGAACCTAGGGGTTCGTCGCCATTCCAGTACGCGTACGTGGGTTCGCGCCAGGCCTCGGACAACATGTCGCCGGCGTCGTCTACATCATCAAAGTCAAAGTCGAAGGCTGCGGTCGATCCTTTCCAGTTTCAGACGGAGGGTTCCAGCGCCCAAGGCATTGTAGCTCGGCGTAACGTGTCGGGCTCAACAGATGGCAGACGGACTCCTACGGTTCCAGCTACCTCGCGCGTGACCAGGTCGCGGGCTCCACCTCCGGAGTCGGCATCATCCAGCGACAGTAGCAGCGAGGAAAGCACGGAGGAGAGCACCAGCGATGGTACCGGGAATGGCGCGCAGATCGTCGAGCCTCCGCCGCAGACAAGGCGCGGCCGGAGGGAGGCCATCGTTGTTGAAGAGGCTGCGTCCCGCGAGCCAGCGCGTGAATCGTCGCGGGGCAAGAAGTCGTCCAATCCGTCGCCATCCAAGAGGAAGCCCGTCGCGAGCAGGAAAAAGAAGAAATGAGTGTCGTCTGGCGTTGTCTTGTATGCATAATAGAGCCTTATTTCCTAATGAATCCGTCTCAACCACTTAAACAGTTGTGTTCTTCCAAGTCAATTGATGTCTAAGGTCGTAATTCGTCTCTTGATCTATACTAAGAACGTATGCATCATGCATCTATATGTAAATGCGCCCGCCAGGTCGACCCCAGAAGCATGGGACGAACCAGAATGTTAACCTTGCCCCAAACGCCCAAAATCGATATATGGATATAACCTTCCCAAAAAAAAAAAAAAAACGCAATCTGCCCTTCGTCCCAGACGAAACCTTTCATAAACCCATCATCACCAGACCCCTCTTTTTCGGAGGTGTCAATCTACACAAACATCTTGGCAATGCCGTTCACAATCCCGTCTCCCCACCCACCCTCCCTCTCGACGCTCCTGCGCTCCCACGACATGCCGCCGTCGTAGCCGCGCTCGACGTGCACGCTGCCGCCGCGCGCGCCGGCGCCGAGGCCGGTGGTGGCCATGCGCATGGCCTCGCCGACGAGGCCGACGGAGTCGCCCTGGGCGGCTTTCGCGCCGATGCCGATCATGCGCTCGATGCCGGGCGGCAGGCGCAGGCCGAAGCGCGCGAGGAGGGCGGTCAGGAAGCCGCCGGTGATGAGGGGCATGATGACGAGGGCGAGGACCTTGTAGGGGTGCTTCTTGGCGTAGTAGACGAGGTCGCGCCAGAGGCGCTTGACTTGCTTCATTGTCTTGTGGAGGAAGCCGGAGCGCGGGGAGCGCTTGTAGTAGGACGGGGAGCGGCCTGGGTTTTGCGGGTTAGTGGGTGGGATGTCTTGGATGTCGCGGGGCACACGGGGGAGGATAGCACAGAGACGTAGGGCACAGAGTACAGAGACACGACGTACCTCCGAAGCCGAAGAAGCCCGACGAGGAGCGGGAGGCGTTCGGGATGCCGAAGAAGCTGGAGCGGGACGAGTTGTGCTTCCTGTAGTGGTCGTCGCCGCCGCCGAAGATGGAGCCGACGATGCTCGGGGCGCTGTGCCGCTTGTTGCTCTTTGAGCGGGAGGACGAGTTGGAGCGCGAGCGGTGCTTGGATTTGGAGGATTTGTGGTGCGAGGAGTGCCGGCGCGAGTGGGATGACTTGTGGGAGAGGACGGACCCGTTGTCGAAGTCGAAGAAGCCCATTGTTGCGGTTTTTTCCTTGTGGTTTCTCTATCTGGAGGGTGTTGTCTAACCTGTCTAGAGGAGGGGAATTGAAGGCGGGAGGGGGGTTCTGGTTCTCGGAGCAGGGAAGATGGATGCTCGCTGCTGGGAGTAGTTCGCGGGACGGGTGCGTAGGGCTGGTGGCGGGTTTGTCGGCGTGGTTCGGTTGTGTGAGCTGGGGGAGAGGATGGAGCAGAGCAAGGTTGAAGAAGGACCAGCTTGGGATCTGTGCTGGAATGGCTTTCCTTGTGAGAGGGGTGAGGAAGGTGAGGGATGGGAGGGAAGCGAGAGCAGTGGAGGAGGGAAAGAAGTGGACGTGGAGGAAGAGAGTGTGGGTTTGTGTGTGTGAGAGAGACTGGGGGGAGAAGAGGAATCCACCACGGAGCGCGGAAAGAGAGTGAGAGAGTGAGTGACAAGATATGGATTCGGTGTAACCTGGAACACACGCCCGTTTCTTTCGTGCGCTTGTCTTTGTATCCCCCGCCCCTCTTGTGTGTGTGAGGCTGGAGAAATGGAGAATGCGACGTTGGGGCTTTTTCTTGCTCTTGCGCACGTGGGGTTTGGTTATTCTTGGATTTGAAGCTGTTTGATGATGATGAAAAGCTATGAATGGCTAGTCATGGGGGTATCTGCCTTTTCAAAGCTTTTTTTCAAGGAGGATGAATTGGGCCAAATTCGATGATACGAAAACTGGTCACCTTGGGCTTCAAGGTGAAAAAGCTTAGGTTCGAAGATCAGACGTTCTGGATTCCGTTCAAGCTAGGGGGGCCGCTTGATCGTGGAGCTCTCTGGTTTGCTTGAAGAAGTGGACGACGCAAGGTTAGAGGCCAGGACGCGCAGCGGGCAATGTGGACCCTTTTCTTCGCGATGCGAGTGTGCGTTTGCAGCCTCCGTCGTTTCCTCTCTCCTGCGTTTTCGTCTCGTCTTTTTTCGCTAGTGCCGGGGATTTTACTCTGGCGATTGTCGATGAGTGGACGGGGAGAAGTGCCGGGAGCGATGATGTGGTCTGTACCCGTATGGAATGTGGAATATGGGAGAATGTGGACGGGATGCCCTCTTTTTCTGCGGGTGTGAGAGGTGAACCGGAGGGGGGAAACCAAGATATGGCCGGGGTGTCGCTTTCTGGTAGCGAGGGTTTCTTCGATGTAGGCCTGGTCCGTTGTTGAAGAGTCCAGAACGTGGTAGGGCCAATTGAATGTGCGAATTGCGCTTTGGGTAATTAGGTTTCGCTGCAGTCGAGAGTTTTGGGGCATATACGACGTTGTGAGATGTGGTATTTTCTCTTGTTTGCCTTTTCTGATAGAAACCGGCGGTGAGAGGGAACTGGAAATCTGACTGATTGTTTTTTGCAGATTTGTGCGAGGACTACGGATTATGGGCTATGGAAAGTCTGCCTTCTGAGACATTTCGCGGAGTTTGCGACTGAGAATCGCAGATGGGACAAAAAAGAAGATGGCTGGGGATTTTCGGGGCCTTGTCTCTGATGACTGACATGAACCTCTGGGCAAAGCGCAGGCACAGGCACAGGGTCCCCCAGCTGCGTGCGATTTGCGAAAGCTCCTCCAAACTGGACTCCTCCGCAGAGCTCTGACGGGAGCTCTCTTTCGAAAGCTGCGTGCTCCGTGCACGAACTGGCCTGCGCTAGCAGATGAAAAAAAACGTGATGGAGGGTGGCGCTAGGCGGGTTCTGGGTTAGGGCGGTGGTTGATCAGTTGCGGTCTGTGGAGAAGAGGGAGGGCTGGGATCATGAGAGGTTTGTTCGCTTTTTCGTGTTGGTTGGGAGGGGCTTTTTTGGGTGGGTGGAGGGGGCCGTTTCAAAGGCTTGGCTGTTTAGCGATTTGATTTTGGAATTGGACTTCAACTCCAGAGGGACGGACGGCTTTTCGATATTGATGATGGCAGAGCTGGGATGAACTTTTATGGTGAGCACGGCTGGGTAAGTCTTCTGAACTGTGGGTGGGACGGTCAACACTCCGCAGGTTGAAGATGGGGGCCGTCAAGACTACGCAGGCAACAGAATCCGCATGCGCAGTCTTCCCAACCCTTCAAGCATAAGCATGGGAGTGGCGAATATAGCCTTCAAATGCCCTCAATAACAGACCCAGGACGAATGATTGACCATTTCCTTTGGCAGGTTGTCGATCAACGCCTTCAGCCAGCGCTGGGCCTTGAACTATGGTCCTTAACGGTAGGAAACGTGCCGGGCATATACACCCGGTCCATACCATCTCTCGGGCAACGATTCCGCTAAAGATCATAATTTCTGTTGTTTTCGAAACATACATCCAAGTATTACCCTGTGTGGTGCTTTGGCATAGCATGCGATGCATGGAGGTTCAACAGAAGGTTGGCAGACCAAGCCTAGAGGGTCTGTTTTGGACAACTCCCCTCGACGAAACAGTGAGCACTCGATCGAAAGTATTCTGTTGTGCCTTGTCTCAAAATCCAGATGCAGAATGTCTCCCTTTTATGCATGATGCGAGGAAGAGCCGTTTTGGCCTCTTAGACAAACCGGGTTGACACATGTACTCGCGCGACTGAATACTAATAGGCATCCGAGGAGCACTTCAGCAGACTCAATACTTCATGAGAAATATCTTTGCATATAGCTGGGTGGTTTTCAAACGCATCGTTCAACATGTCTCTAAAAAAAGGCTCATGTGGTTCCCAGAGGACAGTTTAAGTCGGTGTCTCTGTCAAGACCGCCTTGGGTTCCCAGGCCTCATGTCAATGTTTCTGTCGTTGACGACGTATTCATCGCAACAGCCGGCAGGCAACAACATAAAGTAGTAACTGATTGAAGTTCAGACTCACGTTGGATAGGTTTTCCGGAGTCATACATGTAGGTCTTCGCTTCCTTCATGTGCTAAATATCTACCACTATGCCAAGTCTACATGGCTTTGATCCGGTTATGAAGAACCCCACACGAGTGCCATTTGCTTGGAAGTGTTCCCCTAAGTTTTATGGCCTCGACCAGCTGGATTCACAAGGCCAAATCTCTGTGATGTGCGCAGTGTTTGCTGGGCCTGTCGATGTCCCAAAACTCATGTCATAAAAGGAAATACCTTGGGATGACGAAGAAACGCCAGAACACAGAATGTCTCGTTGATGCTTGTGCCTCCTAGTGCCGTAGGGTACCAAGACTTTATCTCAAGTCAAAAGAAGCTATGTCTTGACCTAAAGATATCTTGGACAGTGTCGCCCATTTCCGCGTAGTGGTTGTTGTCGTCCGCCCCTGCCCATTGTCATTCGTTGATTGTTGACACTCTTGAACGTTAACTGATACTTTGTTTTAGATACTTGATAACAGAAGAAGAAACAATCCCTCGGATTCCTACACCGAGGACTGCGTTTGCGATGATGACATTTTGTCCAGAGAAAGGGCTGCAACATGGATTGGCCCCATGCGGATCTTTATCACCCGCGTCCATGCTTTTATACCGTAAGATGAATGAAATCGTGCCTCGTAGTCTCATTTTGAATAAAACGTTCCCTCAATATGCATATCGCTTACTAAGTTGACGCACACTTTTGCCGGCTGATGTGTTCTAATATCATCACTATCAAGACGATAATGAAAAGGAAAAACATATGAGGAAGCGCTCCAAGATCCTCCGGCATCGGAATCTTAGTCAAGATGAGTTGCCTCAGAGTTGCCTCTATTCTCCTGTGAGGTCCGCACAATGTTGGTGTGAAAGACGTGCGTGACGTTATGTTCATTGGCGTCAAGGTTTGCCCTGTCATTCTTGTCCATGTTGCTGGAGTTGACCTCGCGAGCGGCAAATCGTCCCTGATCACTCTCGTCATCT